CAGAGCTCAGACTAGGAGAGAATGAAGCAGTACAAGGAGCCAATCGCTTAGGCTGCAGTGCTCATGTGCTACGAAGGAGTATACCGACTGGGTGAGCGAGCAGTGACAGGGAGATATTCTAAACAGGTTGCTGCTTCTCTTTTACTGTCCAGTCACAGGTTGGAGGAGGAACAAGACCTGTCAGTGTTACTTAACTGCAGCAGAAAAAAAAAATCAGGTCTCCTGCCCTGTTAGGCAGGGTTGTGCTGTGCAGCAGAGCTGTGTAGAACTTGGAACATGATGGACAGAAATACAGGTAGAAAGAGAGACAACTCCAAACGGTAGTGGCAACAAAATTGAGGTGAAAAAGTCCCAGGAGAGATCTGACGGAGTATATTATTTTATAGTGCAAAGCTATAGATATGTTTAAATAAATAAATGTAGAAGAAAGAGTGTGATACCCGCATAGATAAGGTTGCAAGAAATCCCATTGGTGATATCGGGCAACTTAAGGTGCAAAAAAGGCGTGCAGGGAATATTTCTGTGCCCGCGCAGGATGGTTGCTCTCGATGCTCGTCAGGGTGGAGTTCGGATGATCCAAAGCTCGGCAGCTAGAGGGACTCGATGTGCACTGAAGAGATGAGACAAGAATGCTCCCCAAAAAACATAGGTGTAAGACAGCAGAGGGGCCCAGGTGGAAGAGATTAATGATCGCGACCATCATTTCATTTCTTCCACCAGGGCGCCTCCGTTGTCTCACACCTACGTTTTTTGGGGCATTCTTGTCTCATCTCTCCTGAAATACAGGTAGGGCAGGTAAAACAGCCCCCATGTACAGTATGTATTTCATCTAAGGACTCACCTGTTTGACTGGAGGTCAGCCTTATTGGGAAACGTTTGGTGAGAAAACAATCCCCTCCCAGTCAGATATACTGTGTATAGAGATTCCAGCTCACTGCAGATACTTACCTGCTTCTGTTCTGCAGAGATATAAGCCATTCCCGCACAAAGCTAAAAATGAAGAGTGAGAACGTCTTTCTTTGCTGCAATCTGAAAATGAGTCCTGGTGTTGAATATGAAACAATGCACCCTCGGCATCCCTTACAATATGCGGTATACCTTGTAGGTAGCCCACCGGAGAAGAAACTTACAGTGCAGTTCTAGCAATGTTATAATCCATGCATCAGGCATTTTGTTTTCTCAGGATGACCACATGTTCTGCAATAACAGAAAAATACTCATTATTCCAGCATTCCAATATTATCAGCTTTCCAGCTAACTTCTGTGAACTACAAAACTGAACGCTTCCCTCTATAAGGAGGATAAGGAGGGGGCTGTTTGTAGTCCAAATCATGCATGAAGCCTAGGTTGAAAATGCTGCTCTTTCAAAGGAAGAGACCTTTAAAGTGACATTAAACCCTCAGATTTTTTAACATAAACCAATACTGTAATGTGTGCCTTACTGTAATCCATGGTAGTTTCCCTTCTCTTTGATGCTCTTCCTTTTAAATCCTCATGTCTTTTCATGGTTAGGGAAGAACTTCCCTTTGCAGCTGAGTGCCTCTTCTTGTAGTGCTGGCTCAGGTTGCAAACGTACACACAGACACCAAAGGGTCTATTCACAAAAGGGTGAAGAGTTCGGAGAAGACAGGAGAAGGGAACAATCTAGGGCAGAATAGCCGATTTGGAAAAATTCTCCAATTCTGCTCACTTTCCAGTTCAGCTTTGTTGTCCTAGATTGTTCACTTCTCCTGCCTTCTCCAAACTCTTCACCCTTTTGTGAATAGACCCCTTGGTGTCTGTGTGTACGTTTGCAACCTGAGCCAGCACTACAAGAAGAGGCACTCAGCTGCAAAGGGAAGTTCTTCCCTAACCATGAAAAGACATGAGGATTTAAAAGGAAGAGCAGCAAAGAGAAGGGAAACGACCTTGGATTACAGTAAGGCACACATTACAGTATTGGTTTATGTTAAAAAATCTGAGGGTTTAATGTCACTTTAATCCTGACATCCACAACCTAAAAGCTGTTCAGCAGCCAACCCCATCCTTACTATCTGGGACTGTGTGAGTATTCCTCAGTAAAAGCCTTTCACCGCCTTCTGGGGACACAGGGATGCACCTATATCTGTGACACTGTTCATAGCCTGCAGTACACTGGAGCATGGACAAAAGGGTTACTGCACATATATTTTGTTCCACAATTCCCAGAAGAAAGGATGTGTAAATCAGACACTGATTTGTGCAGAGTTCAGTTGAATACATGGCTTCTTCTGGCCCAAGTTTACATCCAGAAATGCTGAGCCATGCATATGTCTATAAGAAGCTGCATTGTCTGTAGGTGGTTCTATATTTTTGGCAACTTCTTAAAGTAAATGTAAATTCAATAATTAAACTTCCATATAATCTTTAACATGTCAGTGTAATATAAAACTCATTTTCAATCTTTCTAACTAACGTTTTTTTCCTACAGGCTTCATTATACTAATAATTGGTGATCCTGCCATCAAGGAGGTCCTTGTTTAGGCACTTCCTGTTATAGAGGAACAATGTTCTGTCCTTGTCTCCCAATTACTGTCCTTGGTTGCCACCATGTCACACGCGTTTCCAATGGAGACTACTAGCAGTGGCAAGTTCTACTCTTATCGCCATCAGGAAGGTCGCCCTGAGCAATGACATGCAGCTGACACTGGAGTGTATGAACATACAGTACGAAGAGGCTGCAGTAGATCAGCAGCACTCAGATATGCTAACAAAGTGAAAAACAGAGTTTTTCAAATGACAAAAACATTTTTTTCTCGGTTACTGACTGTAATAATTTTGCAATTATAGAAGTTTTGATTTTTACTGTGACATTCCTTACTCACATGCTTGTTCTGGGTCTGAGAATGTATTGAGGCCAGAGACAGCTAGGCAATTAGCATTTTCAAAAAGAGTTCAGCAATAGCAGCCTTTATATTACTGTCAGTACAGATCACCTTTAAATCAGAACTCAGAGCAAGTGTTCTTAACCCTTGCAGTGGAGCTAACCCCACACTGCAAGGGTTAAATGCTTATTTTTGTCTGTTATTCTCACCTGAACCGCGGAGCCGGCTGGCTGCTACTTAGCTCCCCGAAGCCTGTCCCCTCCTTTGCTGCAACGAAGGTATGTCCCTCAGTGTCCTCACATCCTACACACCATATAGAATGTGATGACTCGAGGATCCTTATACCATGCAGCGGAGGGGGAGAGAGGCTGGAAGGACCTAGACAAAAACGAGTGTAGTGCAGGGGTAGCCCCACTGCAAGGGTTAAGAACATTTTTGCTCGGAGTTCTTCTTTAAACTAGTCCACCAAGTAAACTGCAATTTTTTTAAGTTATAACTATAAAATGTACATCCCCCCATCCCAATGCTGCTTTAAGGACTTTAAATGATGCCTCTTGATCCGATCATCTTCTTTCCTGTAGTTTTGCAGGAGTCCCTCCAGTGCTGGTGCCGGTCTCTGATCCAGCACTGACTGCTGTGTCTCCTGTGTCCCATGGTGTCTGTGCGCATGCACACTGCCGAGCTGCCTGCGTTGACTTACTCTGTGTCTCTCCTCTTCTCCTGGCCGAAGATCTCTACTGCGCATGCCCTCGCCCCAAGATCCTTCACGGCCGCTTGAGAATCTTCAGATCCTTGGACGACTGGTGGATGAATGGTGGAGACAGAGGTAAGTAATAACCTGCTTGGTAACTTTTTTTAATGTTTTTCTATTTGTCTACTGCTAGCTAGCAGTAGATATGTACAAAAAAGAAGGTTTCATTGTATTTTAAAGTTCATTGTAGTAAAACAGTTGCTGATAATTGATTATGTCATGAAACGCACACATTGTAATATTAGTACAAAGCAATAAACTTATTTCTAAATATATGTAAAATCTAGAAAAGATATTCAAAATAGTTTCCAACTGATTTGCTTACAATACATGTAGGCTGGCCATACACCAGTAGAATTGTGTTAGAAAATTCTCATCTTTAGGACATTCGTTTGTCTTTCTACTGCTTAGGTGGGTCTAATCGACATTTGATTTGGGCCACAGTGATAATGAAAATCGAAGGAGCAGGATGGAAAAATGTCCTCATTTCTTATCTGAAAGATGAAATTGTAACTGTGAATGTGATTTTCATTCAGGAAAGATCATTTGTATTGTAATGCGCATGTGCAAGGCTCAAAAAAAAAACCCCGTTTTGTTTAATACGTCTGGGATTCCATATTAGTAGCCGGTCTGGATGACATGTTTAAGGGCTTTCAAATGGAATTAGTGATGGTATCATTGAATGTTCTGAAAAACAATGTCAAACAAATGTTCCAATTAAATTCTAACTGTATATGGCCAGCTTTAGGCCTGGTTCACACCTGAACGTTTTGTAGCGCGTTCAACGCTCGACAAACGCTCTACAAAACGCTCAAACATCTAAATCCCATTGTATTCAATGGGTCTGGATCACACCTTGCCGTATTTCCGCCCGTCCGAACGCGATACAAAACGGCCTACGCCCAAAGAAGTACATGTACTTCTTTGGGGCGCTTTGGTCTCGCGTTTCCATTGGGATACAGCCAAGTAGCCCACGGAAACGCGAGTTTGTCGCACCGCGAATCGCGGTAAAAACACACGACGCGAACCGCACAACAAACGCGCATATTCAATACGCCTAGGTGTGAACCCAGCCTTAGGTTTTTCATTTTTATCCTACAAAGGTTCTTAGGTAGCAATAAAGCAAACATTAACAGTGTATCTCTGAAAATGACTGCACAGTAATTAGGTAATTTATTTATATCATAGATATACTGCTACTTCCTAGCAAGGTAGAACTCCCTGGCAAGATAAATGGATTGGTCTACTTAAAGCAGGTCAGAACAGTATGCAAACATCCATTGACCTAAATTAAATCCCAACTATAACACATTAAAAAAAACACCAGTTTATAATACATAACATATTTTAGTTACGAATGTTTGTAATAATGTTAAATAAAACCAGTAGAAGAAAAGAACAGTTGTTCAGTGCCAGGGCTTGGGATGCCAGACTGTGGTGAGTAATGTACTTTCCTTAGTCTTGCCGTTGAAAGATAGGGTTGGAATAAAGGGAGTTTGGGAACTGCTCCTGATTCCTGAGTGCCAGCGCTGGTGAATATAACGGACTGGATTGCGGATATTGACACCAGGTGGATAACTATATTGGAATGGAGCGTTTAATGGTGGCAGCATAATCGGAACTGGTTTCAATGGGATCATCTTCTCTTCTGGCTTTGGTCTGATGGCACTTGTCTGTCGATCTTTGGAGAACACAGAAAAGTTATTTGTATGTTTCATTGTTAGGGACACAGTAGGAATGCCGCTTTTCTTTGGTGCCTTCGTAAACTGCAAAGTGTTGGTGATTTTGTGGGTAGCACTTTGGTCATGTTGGACTTTTGGTGTTCTTGGGGTCATCAAGTTATTTTCATGGTTTATGAACTCATTGATCTTTGCTAGAGCGTTTGAAGTGACTGGGGTGGTCTTATGATTTTGTGATTTTGATTTCTTTTTGTCGTCCTTTCTTGGAGACTTTGCCACCCGAATGCCATTGAGCAGTCCCTTAGAAGCAGCGCGAGCCAAAACATCTTGAGGGGAGACAGACTGAGAAGGAGCTGTCTAGAATAGAAGCAGACAATGTAAAGTAAGTCACCTTGGTGATCAGACATAATAGTCACTTCTTAAATAGATTGAAGAGTGTGGCACATATTGCATCATGTTCTTTTATTTCACTGCAGCGAAGGTCACCACAGAACTTAAACATAAAGCAATATCAACAGTGTACCTCAGTCTCCTAACCCTAAAAGTATGACAGATTATATTTCAGAGAACCAGTTATGATCAAACTAATGCAAGACTCTGAATAAAAAGTCTAATGGCTGCTGCCTTGCCAGTGTCTTGATCTCACATGGCGTACAATCTGTAGCCGGGAACAGTGTTTGAAGTCAGACAAGGCAGCAATTGCCAGAAATCAGATGAAATCTCACCCTCTATGCAGAAGAATCAGACACAGACCAAATAAAGAGGCAAATGATTCATAAGAAAGTCTGCGCAGTTATAATAATTTAAGAACAGATATTGAGAATTTTTGCATGTTCCAGTCATGACTGGATCTCTTTAGGATCTCTAAAAAGTGAATACCTGTATTGCAAGTCAACCTTTAAAATGAATATGTTATTAACACTTTACATTCCACGGCACTGAGTAACCTGGCAGAGCCCCAAGATCATATATGTACACTTAGGGCCCATTCACACAATTGCACACAGTAGCACACGGTAACACCTCCACATTACCTCCGTGCACATTAACATACCAGGCACATTTTGATGCCATTAATCTTGCTATTACAGTAGCAGGCAACACTTCTGCACTGCAGTGCACCACAATGCATGTCATTTGTTGTGCTATACTGCTTTCACGTGTTGGCAGGAAATTAATATTGAATGGGCTGTGTTAATTCATTCCACAAAAATGCACATGTATAAATGCACCACAACGGCCTGGAGAAATGTGAAAATGCTCGACATCTTGATACTTTAAGGTTTACTGATTTAAATGCGAATATTTTTCCAAGCAATCCCGTATGATTTATTTTTCTTCATTTAATGGCTGACTAGTCTTTGTTCGGATCTGCGCCATATATAATGCATTATTTGCTAAAATTATAAACTTCTTAACAAGCAAAATGTACCAACTGAACCTGTCAGATGGACCTTCTGGGAAAATTGCCAATAGATGAGAAACTATTTTCTACAACATATATTAAAATACTCCTGTCAACATCTTAAATTATGCATTTCCTATATCGAGTCCTACTAGAGTAAACCAACTAAGAAAAAAAAAAAAATCATCTTCCCCTGCCAAATGGAATATTTACATTTCTGGGTCAGCTTATAAATATAAATGATAGACACCAGAGGATCAAAAAACATCAGTGCCTCCTTGTTATTTAGAACTAACTGGCAGTGACTAGAACAACCCTTCTGACTGCAGGCACGTTAGTACTGTATGGACGGTCCTTGTTACACTATTACCTTTATGGCAGCTACACATCTTTATGATTTTCTGTGGCCATTTGTAGCTACAGAGTTGCTGATATACTTGGCTACAACTCTTTTGTATGCAGCCACATATCACTAGTATAACATGGTCATGAGAAGCTGCATTGGATAACAGGAGGAGCTACTGAAACTGCTGATACTGTAACGGGCCCCAAATACTGTAAAACATAGTAGAACATACTACAGAATATGTGATGGGAACAACACTGCCTGATTGCAGAGCTACATACAGCTATGACTAAGAAGGGGTGTGTCCGAACTTTGCAGAGAGACTACTGCTTTACCAGGAGCAAGGTTCCTTCTCTGCAGTATCCTGACAAGTAACAGGCTTTTGTTCTGTGGCTACTTTCTAAAGAAAACACACTGTAAGATAATGTACACCTTGCATTTTGATGCATCTGGAATGTATTTAGCTGATTTAAAATGCATGTTTAATTGAGCTTTAAAGAAGAAATATGAGGTGAGTGCTTTTCACTCACCTCATAGTTCTAGCCGACCTGTGACAATGAGACTGTCACAGGTCGGCTCAGTAGATCGGGAAGTGAGGGAACACATACCGGCGTTTGCTCACTTCTCGATCCTGTCACGGCAGAGAGCCGTGACAGGGGAGGGGCTGGATTCCCCCCTCCCCGCTCCGATCCTCCAGCGCTGACTGGCGGAACGGACGGGGGAGGGGGCGGGTACAGCTGGATCTGCCTCTAGATAGGCAGAGCCAGCTGTCACTCACGCAGCTGGGCGGATCCAGACATAATTGTCGGGATCCATTTCAGCTGCGGCTTCTCAGTATACGGCGAGCTGTAGTTCGCCGTATACTGCGGGGTGACGGGAGGACGCTAGTTTGTGTCCTCCTGTTACCCTTAGGAGAACTATGGGGAAAAGCCCTAACCCCATAGTTCTCCTTTAACAGTATTGCAATCTCAGGATTTGCTATTGGTTTTAATGGTGCGAACCTTATCTTTTTCTTTCTGCATAGGAGAAGTTGCATGCCCCAGAGTACAGCACCCCCTTGTTTATTTTATACATTCACTGGTAACAGACAGGCCAGTACAGTACAGTATTACTGTATTCAATCCATTAGGGATGCACAGAATACCAGTGCAGACACTTGGCATTTTCATGAGAACTACCAAGGTTGCAGAGGTTGCAGCTCTGGCGCTCCACCACTGTCCTGAAATCATTAGTCTGTATTGTTTTAGAAAATGTATCAGTACTCGTACTTGTAAGTACTTGACAAGTACTAGTACTCATACTCGCAAAAAACTGGTATCTGTGCATCCCTTTATTTATATTTATATTAACAAAATCGTACATTAAAACAGAGATGTACAAATCCCAGGAGCTCCGTGTGCTCCTTACAAATGACAGCTGCCTCCTAATTTTTGCATTTTTCTCTAGTCTAGTCTTGGAGCGCAATGTACTCGTACTTGTACCGAGTACTGTATTTGGTATCTGTGCAACCCTACAATCCAGCATGGCTCCCAAGAAAGTGCAGAGCAAGCATGGTGGGAAAAAGAAAGCGTTAATGAAGGTGACAAGAATGTGCAGATCATTAACCAGTTGACATCCACGGTGTTAAACCCCCTTCCCATCCAGGCCATTTTTCAGTATTCAGCGCTGCGGTACTTTGACTGACATTTATTCCGTCATGCAGCGCTGTACTGAAATTAATTTTATACCATTTTTTAGGGACAGATAGAGCTTTCTTTTGGTGGTATTTAATCACCCCTGGGGTTTTTATTTTTTACTACATTAAGGAAAAATATGACCGAAATTTAAAAAAAAAAACCTTTACAGCATTCTCACCTCTCTCGTCATGACAGCAACAAAACAGCCATTGCAATTATCCGAAAGTTCCATTTTGAAGAATTTATCACAAGTGGATTCCATTTCTGCTGAAGGGCAAAGAGGAATAACAGGAGGGCTCAGCCTGCAAGAAATATCACTACTGGTAAAATAGAGGAATTGCATTGTAAAAAGATTATTGGGCATCTCTGAAATGCTTTAGACTCACAAAATACCAAATTAGCTTAGTGCCTGCTCTTCAGTAAACTTTGAAGCCAAAAATATATTTTCTTGGCAGCACTAGTGGTTTTTGGAAGTAGTTATACCTACCAACTAGGGATGAGGTTCAGCTATGCTTGATGATGAATTTGCAACAAATTTCCAGGATTCAAATTTGCCTCCAATAGGCAAATTTAAGGAAGATTCGCAGTGGTTGAGTTCTGGCACCCAACCATAGTGCCCTATGTATACTTAACCCAACCCTGGCCAACAGGCTCACAAAAGGCAATAATGTACAGTATCTCACAGAAGTGAGTACACCTCTCACATTTTTGTAAATATTTTATTATATCATTTCATGCGACGACACTGAAGAAATGACACTTTGCTACAATGTAAAGTAGTCAGTGTACAGCTTGTATATTGGTGTACATTTGCTGTCCCCTCAAAATAACTCGACACACAGCCATTAATGTCTAAACCGCTGGCAACAAAAGTGAGTAAACCCCTAAGTGAAAATGTCCAAATTGAGCCCAAACTGTCAATATTTTGAGTGGTCACTATTATTTTCCAGCATCTGCCTTAACCCTCTTGGGCATGGAGTTCACCAGAGCTTCACAGGTTGCCACTGGACTCCTCTTCCACTCCTCCATGACGACATCACGGAGCTGGTGGATGTTAGAGACCTTGCGCTCCTCCACCTTCCGTTTGAGGATGCCCCACAGATGCTTAATAGGGGTTAGGTCTGGAGACATGCTTGGTCAGTCCATCACCTTTACCCTCAGCTTCTTTAGCAAGGCAGTGGCCGTCTTGGAGGTTTATTTGGGGTCGTTAACATATTGGAATACTGTTCTGCGGCCCAGTCTCCGAAGGGAGGGGATCTTGCTCTGCTTCAGTATGTCACAGTACATGTTGGTGTTCATGGTTCCCTCAATGCACTGTAGCTCCCCAGTGCCGGCAGCACTCATGCAGCCCCAGAGCATGACACTCCCACCACCATGCTTGACTGTAGGCAAGACACACCTGTCTTTGTACTCCTCACCTGGTTGCTGCCACACACGCTTGACACCATCTGAACCAAATAAGTTTATCTCGGTCTCATCAGACCACAGCACATGGTTCCAGTAATCCATGTCCTTAGTCTGCTTGTCTTTAGCATACTGTTTGCGGGCTTTCTTGTGCATCATCTTTAGAAGAGGCTTCCTTCTGGGACGACAGCCATGCAGACCAATGTGATGCAGTGTGCAGCGTATGGTCTGAGCACTGACAGGCTGACCCCCCACCCCTTCAACCTCTGCAGCAATGCTGGCAGCACTCATACGTCTATTTCCTAAAGACAAACTCTGGATATGATGCTGAGCACGCGCACCCAACTTCTTTGCTCGACCATGGTGAGGTCTGTACTGAGTAGAACTTGTCCTGTTAAACCGCTGTATGGTCTTGGCCACCGTGCTGCAGCTCAGTTTTAGGGTCTTGGCAATCTTCTTATAGCCTAGGACATCTTTATGTAGAGCAACAATTCTTTTTTTCAGATCCTCAGAGAGTTCTTTGCCATGAGGTGCCATGTTGAACGTCCAGTGGCCAGTATGAGAGAGTGAGAGCAATAACACCAAATTTAACACACCTGCTCCACCATTCACACCTGAGACCTTGTAACACTAACGAGTCACATGACACCAGGGAGGGAAAATGGCTAATTCTGACCAATTTGGACATTTTCACTTAGGGGTGTACTCACTTTTGTTGCCAGTGGTTTAGACATTAATGGCTGTGTGTTGAGTTATTTTGAGGGGACAGCAAATGTACACTGATATACAAGCTGTACACTCACTACTTTACATTGTAGCAAAGTGTAATTTCTTCCATGTCGTCACATGAAATGATCTAATTAGATATTTAAAAAAATTTGAGGGGTGTACTCACTTCTGTGAGATACTGTGTGTGTGTGTGTGTGTGTGTGTGTGTATGTGTGTGTGTGAGAATAACCAAGCCCCTAACTATGAAAGGGTAGAATCAGAGCAGCCATAGTATAGTGTCAGTGTGCATGAGCTGCTGTGGGGAGAGATCGCTGATTAGGATTAGAGATTAGGATAAATTAGCAAACTATGCTTCAGCTTTGTGAATTGCAACTTGTCTTGTGTGCACCCCCTCCCTGAGTTTACAGATCTTCAGTTAACCCAAAAGTCTTTATTATAACTATCTGTGTCAACAAAAGTTTAATTGCTAGCTCTTCGAGTCGGGTTCTTTTTTGCTGCTGATCTGTCCATAACAACAAAAAATTCTATTTTTGATGTAAGGCTTTTCTTAATAAAACAAGGAAACAAACAACTGGCTTTTTTAAGGATTTATTTTCTGAAGGGATATCTTAGTTTTTAATTTTGTGTTTGGAGTGTGTCGCAGCAATCCATTTCTGCTGAAATTCTGTTCTGTAAGCTGCCTTTTTCTTCCCAGCATGCTCTTATACCTTCCATATAGCAAAGGAATTGTCTACAAACCAAATACATAGTTGTATGTCTACAGATATCTACAACAGTCCTGGGACATTCCAAGTTAAGGGTACTCCGCACTTTCAGTTTCCATGAGCAGTAACTAAAACCTGACTTGTGCTGGTTAAGGATTACCTTAAATGTTCTAACCCACAATGGAATGACAGAATCTGAATGGCTGATATAAAACGAAAGCAGAGACTTTTCTTTCCTTCTGGGTTTAAAAGCCAGCTCTGGTCTAGTAATAAATATAGCACATATGTGGATGCCAACTCTGTCTACCTGTATGGTTGTCCTTTGGTTCCTTCCATCTTCAATTGAAGGGCCTGGTTGATGACATTTTCATTCTCCTCTTGATACACTGAGCGTGTACAGTATACAATAGTATCCACTTTATTGACTGGAAGGAAAAGACAAAATAGAAGAGAGGACATTTTACTTTCATTAATGGAAGGCTGTGAAAAAGGCATCTGGTCAAGGTCCACCAGAAAATGAGTCCTATTTGTATAGATAACGGTAATAGACCCTGACAGATGGTGTCTTAAAGAGTCCTAGCTCTCTGATTATCAAGGAGGACAAGTTACCCCTCATTTTAAAGTGGACAGTTTCTTCCTTCATGCTGCCTTTTTCTTCCCAGCATGCTCTTATACCTTCCATATAGCAAAGGAATTGTCTACAAACCAAATACATAGTTGTATGTCTACAGATATCTACAACAGTCCTGGGACATTCCAAGTTAAGGGTACTCCGCACTTTCAGTTTCCATGAGCAGTAACTAAAACCTGACTTGTGCTGGTTAAGGATTACCTTAAATGTTCTAACCCACAATGGAATGACAGAATCTGAATGGCTGATATAAAACGAAAGCAGAGACTTTTCTTTCCTTCTGGGTTTAAAAGCCAGCTCTGGTCTAGTAATAAATATAGCACATATGTGGATGCCAACTCTGTCTACCTGTATGGTTGTCCTTTGGTTCCTTCCATCTTCAATTGAAGGGCCTGGTTGATGACATTTTCATTCTCCTCTTGATACACTGAGCGTGTACAGTATACAATAGTATCCACTTTATTGACTGGAAGGAAAAGACAAAATAGAAGAGAGGACATTTTACTTTCATTAATGGAAGGCTGTGAAAAAGGCATCTGGTCAAGGTCCACCAGAAAATGAGTCCTATTTGTATAGATAACGGTAATAGACCCTGACAGATGGTGTCTTAAAGAGTCCTAGCTCTCTGATTATCAAGGAGGACAAGTTACCCCTCATTTTAAAGTGGACAGTTTCTTCCTTAGGGTTAGGGTTAGGGTTAGGGCCTTTGTCCTAGCCTTTAAGAAACTCAATAGTCTAATGTACAGTATGTATCAAACTCATGCACACTAGCTTGTATAATTAACTCAGATGCCAACTTACCTGCTAGCATTTTTTTGGACTGTGAGAGGAAACTGGGGTAGCGAGAAAATCACTGTGAACCCAGGGAGAACATAAGACATAAAACTACAGTATGTCTATGTAGTGTCACTTGTGGGATTGGAATCCAGGACCCTGAGAAGCAAGAGTGTTCACCATTTTATCAACATTTAGTACATAAAAAACGATCTTAGGTTACTATAAAATCATTTTCTTGGGGTTACTGAGTGGGTACAGGGTAGACGTAATCTGAGACACTGGGTTATTCTGCTGCCTATAGGAGATTTGATACTGGCAAACAAAGCTGGGCAACAGACTAGTATAACCCCTCCCACTCCTATCATGTTCCAGTTTTGTGGAAAAGCAGACGTAGGAGCGGATTATAACAAGGACGTGCTGCAAACTGTGTTCCTTAATGAACTCCAGAGAAAAGGAATTTATAGCAAGTCAAAAATCCTGTTTTTATAATGGTTCATTAGGGACACAAGGTAGAAGTATTCTGATGCCCTTGGAAATCCAACAGCAGCTAAGGGGTGGGCAAGAAAGCAAACAAAATGCTAACAAACTTGCAGAAAAACAACAGTTGAACAGATGGGGCTCAAATGTGACTATTTGAGAAACAGAGCCTCTGCATGGGTACAGATAGGAGGCCTATTCTGGATATTAGGCATATAATATACTGTTGCATTGAGGGGCTCGTGGATAAGGCCATTGGCATAAGCTCCAGGTGTTGAAGGACTGAAGCATCAGTAAGGACAGAAACAGGATCCCTAGACATGGACATGGAAGCAATCACACACTGTAGGGCAGGAGCCGCTAGGGAGAATAATACCTTGGAAAAAGCTTCTAGTCTTTTATACACTGGATCTTCAAACAACAGGATGTCCTCCACAGGAACAGTCAGAGTCTTGTTAAGCCAGGAAATTACTGAATCCACTACGGGAATGGCCCATTTTTTTTTTTTTTTAGGAATGCCTCCTTAATAACATATTACTGAGCAAAGCATTTGGGAGGATCAAACACTTTACCTGGATTAGGCCAATCACCATACAAAACAGGTTGCAGTAGTGAGTGCACTGGAAAAGTTTTAACAGGTTGGGGACTTTTAAAAGAACCTAGGCTGGTAACTTAAGGGACAGCAAACGGAGGTTACTGCAGGTCTAGACATGTGCAGACTGTGTCAATGAGCACCAAAATGGTAGCCTTAAACTTAAGAGTTTTGTCAGCAGACTGAGTCTCCCCATGTACCAACTCATCCAAAAGAGATAGGGTAGATATTTTAACATCCTCAGCTGAATGTGCCCCTTAATAAACAAATAAGGCACATTATACTGCTATTTTCTTGAGGAAAATGATTCAAAATATAATTTAAATGTATTAAGCTGTATTAAAGGAGAACTATGAGGTGAGTGTTTTTCACTCATCCTCATAGCTCTAGCCGACCTGTGACAATAAAACTATAGCTCTAGCCGACCTGTGACAATTAAACTGTCACAGGTCGGTTCAGTAGATTAGGAAGTGAGCGAACACATACCGGCGTTCTCTCACTTTTCGATCCTGTCACGGCAGAGAGCCGTGACAGGGGAGGGACTAGATTCCCCCCGCCCCGCTCCCATCCTCCAGCGCTGACTGGCGGAACGGATGGGGGAGGGGGCGGGTACAGCTGGCTCTGCCTCTAGATAGGCAGAGCCAGCTGTCACTCACGCAGCTGGGCGGATCCAGACATACTTGTCGGGATGCGTTTCAGCTGCGGCGTATCAGTATACGCGGTATACTGAGCTTTGGCTAACGGGAGGACGCTAGTTTGTGTCCTCCCGTTACCCTTCGGAGAACTATGGGGAAAAGCCCTAACCCCATAGTTCTCCTTTTAAGGTTTACAAAAATAATCATGGTGCTGAGTCTACTTCTATCTTAAAGCAGCCTGGCTGCCAAAGTAAACCTGTGGGCATTTTAATTAGTTAAGGGACCTTGGCCAATTTCCCACTAAGATTGTCAAGCCCCAGCTTGACAGCCGGGTCCTGCTCTTTGCCACAGGAGCTCAGACAATGACTCTTGTGAAAATAATGCCTGCAAATAATCTCTGCAGACATCATTAATAGATATGTTGTTATAATTGTAACAAAATATTTTCACAATTTCTTTGATGTGAAGATCAAAGGACTTACATTTGAGCTTCACATAATGTCAGTTAAAGCAACCTCACGATCACAAAAGATCTGTTTAACTTCCTACTGGCCATTGAGGGTGCTTATTACACATTATGGCCAATAAGGAGCTGAGGAGTATAGGAAAAGACAGGATGCAACACAACCAGGTCAGATCTACAAGCTGTTAGCTGCAAGCAACATCCTGGATTCTCAAGATACCAGGGTACCCATCCCAGCGACATTTTATTGCATAAAGAATGCCTAGCACATGGAATATGCTTGTTGTAATCTTGCGCGATCCAGACCGCAGAAAGCGGTCTTAGAGTATTGATCACCTACATTTCATAGCATGGTTCATCTCAGACAGCTGCTGTTTGGCCAGATCATTCAGTCTCTCAGCTGACACAGCTCCTTGAGAGAGATCCTGGAGCAGAGAGGTGTCTGTACAAAAGAAGAAATGCACTCACTTATTTTACAGGAACATTAAACACAAATGTACATAAAAGCATCTTTCGATGTATTTGTGTTTTTCATGTGATCCTTACTGCATGGTTAGGATGTATAGAATTATGCAATGACACACTTTAGTATTAAGCTCTCAATACTAGGGAGGAGGAGGGGGGAGCAGAGAGCTGGGGAGTGTCTTGCCTTGCTTTGCCTGTGTGTTTGTGGAGATACACACAGCTTACTAGCACAGACAAGGGTGGCTCCATAAGAGTCACCCTAAAACAGGATATCAGGGCCAGTGCTCAGGGGACCAGCTGATTCTGCAGGAAGCTAAAACTTTGAAACATCAAGAAGCATCCACTGTAAGTGATTTAATCAGCATTTAAAAACTTTTGACATCAATATCACTTTAAAAGTAATCGGTCACAGAGGAAATATGTAAGTGAGAAGTCTTAAAGTGCCCATACACCTTACAATTATCGTTCAATTTTATTTGTCCCGTCATCGCACCCTCGTTCAATTTCTGCACGAATAGCCCATCATGCACAGACCCATGTAGATTTTGATAATCGTCCATCAGCACTACTACCTGGCCGTAAATTCGTTGATCGTATGCACATGTGCAGTGTTCATGCTGCGATTTTTTTTCTTACAAAAACGCCACTAATCTATCGATTTTCATACGATTCAAGAAAAATGTTCTAGCCTGCCCGATAGACGAACTTCGCCCAGTTGTACAGTAATTGTGGTCATTGACCTCCCATCAACTGGCCGATTATCGGACGAAAAACCGATTGCATTCATTTTTCGAACGATAATTGTAAGGTGTATGGGCACCTGGTAAGATTCTAAACATATACTGACTTTCTAAAAGGCTGTATTATGGGATAGGACATGCCTTTTCTACCCATAGCCCAGGTTTGCAAGTTCTTGCCTTATATAGAAAGACTGCATACCACCTAAATCCTAGGCAAAGATTATGTGGTCTCTGTTACCAATGCCAATGCTACCGAGAAGCATTGTGTACGATTCATGATATTAAAGTCAGCAGAAAATATATTGTATTCTGTTAATAGGCCATATGAGGTAGGATAACAAGGCACAACTGTTGTGCAGCAGTTCTTAGCAGGTAGCAGATCATGCATATGTAATGAACAAATATTGCTACCCCACGTATGTAAATAATTAAATCCTCCACAGAGAAACAAGATGTTAATGTGCCAAATTAACTATCATATTTATGGAAAAGTTTTTTTTTTATATTTACAGTATGTGAAATTATGCATAAGGTTATTTATAACACAATATAAAAGGTTATTTATAACACAATATAAAAAAGACAATAATTCTCTATAATAACTGTAACAGGGGTATTAACAATGGTCAGTTTCCTCAGGAGGGAAGTTGTACTGTCACCAAGTTCACACTGACCATGAATGTTACCAAAGAAGCCACCAAGGGCTCCTAGTTATTGCCTCAGTAGTCACAAACAACACTATAGTGATTATTACCTCCATGTTCATTTAGAATTAACTCCACGGGGTTGCTGACTCCTGATCCAGAGCACTGAGGAAGCAGTAGAATGAGCCTGGCCTTTTGTAATCTTGGATCACCAGGGTCAATGTCAGTGAAACTCTCTTTAAGCATCTTAATATCTATAAATTAAATGAATGAGGTCAGTTAAAAGTCAATGGTATGATGACCCGAGTAAAATGAAGCAAAAATAACAATATGTAAAGAAAGTTTATGGAAAAAAATCATACATTCCCTTTTAAAGCTAAACTCCAGGGAAACACGTACATACACCTGAAATACATATAGAGAGTTGTTTTACCTACCAAAGGATCTGATTTTCGGTTCATCAAGTCCTGAGATTTACACAGCCCTGCCAGATTGGCGCCCTAAGTAGGCGCCTATCTGGCAGGTTAAGTACTAAGTTACCTTGACTTTTATTTACTACTGTAGTACAGTTAGCTAGCTTTCCTGTCCCTAGCATATGACTGGACAGTTGTGAGCACATGTAAACTGCAGCACACCTGATTGGCCCATAGTGCTGTCCTTCTCCTAGTCTCGGGTCTACGGTCCATTGGATTACCAGAGGCTTATACAAGTCAGATTTAGGTACTTACACAAGTTGCATTTAAAAGTAAATGTCATTTTTTGTACTTAACTGAATCCAATAGTGTTTTTTTTTAATCTACCTGGAGTGGACTTGTTTCAGATCCCTTTGTGGAGCAAGTTTCCACCCTCCCTGTAATTAACAAAGATACAGTTCTTGACAGAGGCCCTTTCATGTTACTTATTCTTTTATTTGATAGAGGTTTTAGAATTTATCTAGGGAAAAGTTTTACCCTAATCCTTAATATTTAATATAGAACTAGTCATAGCTGGACTAAGTCACGGAGTGAAAGTGAACAGATGCTCGTGGCCCTTCGAGCACCAGGGAACTCACAAGCAAGCAAGAAAAAAATAGAATTTAAATTGCCTCATGGTTGTTTTATTCAGCTGATATGTAAAAATAGAAATAAGCAATGCATCGGCTGTTTAAAGGGGCCAACTTACCTTTTAGAACAAATAGCACATCTGCCACCTAGAACACACTGACATGCTAAGACAACAAATTGTACGCCTAGTACAGATCTGCTCATCCATCGATTAGAAATTGAAAGTGTATTTCCATTTCTCCAGCCATATTGGGATAGCACCTACTTTATATTTGTTATATGTTCCCATTTGTGAAAAATATTTAAAAATTATTATTGCTCTTTTTCTAAAATCTCCAAAAGTAGAGTTTGTCTATTCCCTGTAATTTGAAGGAAGGGGGTTGAGCAGGGTGGGCAGATAATGATTACCAAAATTAACCCTGTCTGTACTGTCGTTGTAAACTAGATTTAAGCAATGTCTATCCTAACCAAGGGTTAAAGATCTAGAAGCATTGTATGTTAATGAGGGAATGCAGTGTGTTCCACTTTGTCTTGGAAATAGGCTCATTCAGAATAGCTTGCAGTCTGGCCAAAGGCCTCCTCCAAAGAAATAGCTAAAAAGTAAGACATTTTTCATATTAATTTTTTTTAGTAGGGATGTCACAATACCACTTTTTCAAGACAAGTACTTCCCCTCATGTACTTGCCGATACCAATTACCGATACGTTTTCTTAAAGGGACAGGTGACATTAAAAAAAAAAGAAAAATAGACTAATGATTTTAGGCCAATTTCTTTATGATTATGAAGAACTTTAATTTAAGACTGTTTTAGAACAATAAAACATTTAACCTATTCATGTTTTCAACCACGATCATGTGGAACCGCACAGGCGGTATTGTGGCAGGAAACCATGCGATCTGATTGTTAGGTGACAGGTACTCTTTATAGACCCTGTCACCTCCAACACAGGAGTTCTAGCACAGCACTGTTAGAACTCCTGTGACAAGAACGAGCAACGGCCGGGAACAGAGGCTGAGGGAGGTGATAGAGCCTGTCACAGTTTCATGTGTCCGGCTCTGTCACCACTCCACGCTGCCCCGCCGTCACCGATCCACGCCCCCAGTCACCGCTCCCCGCCCCCTGCTCTCGCTTGCCCGGCTCACGGAACTACATGTCCCGGGCGTCGGGCGATACGAATTCAACACCGATGCGCAAGCATCGGCGTTATGCATCGGGGCATTTTCACAAGTACTAGTACTTGTGAAAATGCCTTGCATCGGTCCCGATACCGATGCTACCGTCGGTATCGGGACATCCCTAATTTTTAGGTATCCTGCTGGAATAAGAACACATACCAAACATAGTGGGGTTTTCTCAAATTTGACTGCAAAAGTCGAAATACACTTTGGGGGCAAACAGCTGTGTGAACATTATGGCCACTAGGTGCAGCAAAGCAGCATAAGAATTTCCTATGCTCCTCATTTCCACCTAGTGGCCATAATGCACTGCGAATCTCATTTGCTTAGCTGATCAGTGGCCAAACAGTTTGTAAATCACCCCTTTTCAGTCTTTACTATGCATTTCATTTACACATGTATAAAATGGGGAAACTGGCTAAACCATCTGGGGTAGCTTAAAGGAGAGGTATTGGGTAAAATGTACCCTTCTCAATACTTAGAGCTGGCGTGTGACACTGCAGATGTCAAATGTCGGTTCAATAGATTGAGAGCTGAGTGATCACAAACAACTGATCGTTCACCTCACGGTCTTCTCCCTGAAGAAGGCAGTGACTGTCTACCACCGCTCCCCGCAGGGATTCTCCTCTCCCTCGGGCACAGCTGGCTTTAGAGAGGCAGAGCCAGCAGTCAATAAAGCAACAGAGTAGATCCCGACAATATTGTCAGGAATTTTCCTGGTTGCAGCGTGGCTCTGCACTGTCAGCATATAGAGGGCAGTAGCCTGCTATATGCTGAGTTTGGGTCACAGGAGTAAATTACTAAATACTTTAGTTCTCTTTTAAATTCATTTAATGTATGCTTGCTGCAAATATACATCATGCAGTGTTAGTGTAGCATATGTATCTGCCATAATAAAGTCTTATTTCAGGAACTGTACATGCAGAAGACATACTTTTACATTCCATGTTCACGAAGAGCTCCTGCAGTTCTTCATCTCTTGATTCAGACTTAACCCCACATACATAAATACTGCACATGGACTGGTTGGTCAGCACAGAGAGATGGGCGATGGTAAAGCCTGAATGAGAGTTGACCACAATGATATCACTGTCCATGTCGTGCAAAGCTTTCACAGAATGCGCTGCAACACTGTGTGACTTGTCCTATAGAGGAAGCAAAAATATGGTTATAGAATCATTTATCATGACTTTCTTAAGCCCTGTAGTTCTAGGATTTTCCTGCAGCTCTGAGTGTATTTGTACTCATAGTGCTACCTGGCACAGGGTACAAATGTGTCCTCCAAGGAAACATGAATTATCTCTTGGAAATACAATTGTCAGTACTAAGGGAGCATCCTATCAGAATTAAGCATACCTTTAACTATATCTGACATCTTGTTTTTAAAGCTTTGCACTGATATTTTTTTCCACAGCAGAAGCCAGACTTTATTTTGTTTACTGGGGGAATTGCAAAAAATGGAGCAGACAGAATTTGGAGTAGCTGTGCACAGTAACCAATCAGCTTTTCTCTTCAGTTTGCTGAATTAAGCTTAGAAAATGAAAGATGAAGCTTGGTTGCCATGCACAGCTGCTCCAGTTTTTAGTAAATTTTCCTCTATGTGTTTTAGCTTGTATTGCATTGGGCCTGCGCTGAGCAAGGCAGCTCAATGGACATGGTGTTAATGGGCCCAGAAGGTGTATGCGGCACTAAGAAAAGTGGATGAATAGAGATAGATAGATAGATATGGATGGATAGGTAAATAGATGATAGATGGATAGGTAGATAGATAGCTATTCAAATGTATAAAGTCTGTGATTCTTCATATTGGGATATATTTAAACATGGAAATGTTTATTTGTTCATTATGTAAAGTAACCATTGAAACAATAAATGAATATACAAGAGAAGACATGCAAGAGGCTACAGACAATTCTGCACAATAATAACTCCCCCAACATATCTCTGTAGGAGACCAAGGATCCGACCAAATCCCCCCAATCAAGTCTGCAACGCAGCCCAATAGACATGGTGTTAATGGGCCCTGAAGGTGTATGCGGCACTAAGAAAAGTGTCAGTGAGCTTGGACACTTGTGTTCTTCAGAGAGATCTATTATCTCTCCGGAGACCATCATACCCTATGCTAAAAGTGTATGTGGGCCCTCAGAAGGCCCAAGGCCCTTGATAGACATGATAGACAGTAGGGATGCACAGATACTTTTCGAGTACCAGTGCCGATACTTGGCATTTTCATGGGAACTACCAGGGTTGCAGAGGTTGCCGCTGTGACCTGGCTCTGGCGCTCCACCACTGTCCTGAAATCATTAGTCTGTATTGATTTAGAAAAACGGTCACATGACAATAAACAAAAATGTATCAGTACTCGTACTTGTAAGTACTCGGCAAGTACCAGTACTCGTACTTGCAAAACTGGTATCTGTGCATCCCTTTATTTATATTTATAAAAACAAAATCGTACAATAAAACAGAGATGCATAAATCCCAGGAGCTTCGTGTGCTCCTTACAAATGACAGCTGCCTCCTAATTTTTTAATTTTTCTCTAGTCTAGTCTTGGAGCTCAAAAGTATCGGTACATGTATTCGTACTTGTACCGAGTACTGTACTTGGTATCAGTGCAACCCTAATAGGACAGCCAAAAAGACAGATAGATGGATAGATAGATAGATAGATAGATAGATAGATAGATAGATAGATAGATAGATAGATAGATAGATAGATATTCAGATGTATAAAGTCTGTGATTCTTGATATTGGGATATTTTAAAAACATGGAAATGTTTACTTGTTCATTATGTAAAGTAACCATTGAAGCAATCAATGAATATACAAGAGAAGACATGAAAGAGGCTACAGACAATTCTGCACAATAATAACTCCCCCCACATATCTCTGTATGGGATACGACAAAATCCCACCCAATTAAGTCAACACGCCAGGTGGGAGGAAACAGATCTATTAATAATAAAACCAAACTAGTGAAGAATCTGTTACATCTGTTATGTAGGACCATTACTCATACTCATTCTGCAGCTCCTACATCTTTTTTCTTTATGGGAAAATGGTTTGCTAGTACTATGCACTCAGCCTAGAAGATCAAATAATATTATGGATCTGCCAACTGTTTTACATACACATTCCCATGGTTTTTAATAAAATGTAATGTGTATCTAAAGCCAAAACGTTTTTTAGTGTTGGATACAGCAGGGAATGGTTAGAATCCCTTGAACGTTTTTTAAAACTGTGTGCCTCCACTGGGGAGAAAAAAGTGCATCTAACCCTAAAAACAAAAATATTACATATTATAGCTTACAAGTCCATATATGTGATGGGTTCATTTTGTCCCTTTATATTCACCTAGTGATCTGGCCAGTAATAAATTTCCTGTCCTAGGGGGATGACGCTCACTCACCATACTGTATCTATAGAGAAACAGTGTTTTCATCCTAAAACAGGAAAGGTGTTAGGACTACGGAACACCCCTCTTCTCCATAACACGGAGGGTGTGAACTTTTTAAATATATATTTAATAGACCAAAAAAAAACTAAATAATAGTTAATTGTTAGAGTTTACATACCCTTTATGTTTGTCCTGGTGACCTTTACCACCCTGTCAAAAAGTGATGGAAATTCCATATTTTAAAAGTGGTCACTAGAACAAAAGCTGAAGGGAAATCCAACTGTTTAACAGTTGTTTTTCCATTTCTTGGACAGGAAGTAAAGAGAAAAACCTTGCTAATGACATGTAGACAATTAAACCAAATGAGATTCAAGAAGGACTTTAAATTCAGCAATGCAACTGACAAAAATACCCACATTATTTATCAATACATCAAATAAATAAATATAATAAAACTGTTTGGTGTGCCTAGCATCTTACTCCTGTAGGTGACAGTATAACCCATAAGTTTGAGATCAAGATCTCAGATGTGTCCTTCAAAGAAGAGAAATTACATGTTTGTTCTTGGATTTAGTTATCCTTTAAGTCAAGGAAGGATCTAACCCCCAAAAGTGGGTGGTCAAGTAGTTTAAAGTTTCCTCTCACTACCAACTATATTTCTTTAAGACTTTTAGGACCTGGGAGCAATGGCAATAGCTACTTGTTTGCCACAATAAGCCTTTTTAATTTTTTTAAATGGCACATTCCTTGGGGAAATATTTTGCCAATTTATAAAAGGCATTGAATAAATGCCAGCAGTAACATGCAGGCAGTAAAAAGGGGTCTGTAACTTTGCTCCCAAGACATAAACCTAAGAAACTTTTGGACGATTTCTTAAGGGACCGTAATATACAGGGGTACAGGTAATATACAGGGGTACAGGTACTCCTAGAATGAGATCCTAATAGGTTGGACTTGATGGACTAATGTCTTTATTCAACCTCAAATACTATGTAATATCTCTGCAGACAATCCAGTACATGGTCCACACATAACTTGTGTCTTTATGATGGTTTCCATGGTGACTTATTGTACTCCTACACTATTGCTGCCCATGCAGCACTCAAAGTAAAAAACGCTTGCAGAAAGGCAATATATTTCACGTTGACATTGTCCTTCTAGGGATTAAAAGATCAAGCTCCCAAACTGGGAAGCTTCTGTTTCCAGTGATAAACAGCCTGACATAAACATGTTGCTGGGCAACCCTCTGACTGATGCACTGATATTGTGCCTCTGCGTTCACAGGCCTTCCAAGTCTGCGGAGAGTGGACAATAGACTAGTAAATCACATGCACTCTTCTGGGATCTCTGCAGCTTTTATGTGCGGTTTCCTAAACTTGAGGACAAAAATGCTTCCAAGACAAATATCACTGTCTGGCAGCCGAGTAGGAATGACGCATGGCCATTAAGGTTGCCTAATCAATCGTTTTATGGTTGCTAATTGTCTAGCTGCACTTATGCACTTGTACTTGTTTGTAATCCTTCTTTATAAAACACCAGAATAACTATTTTCAACATAATCACCTATGTACCTAATACACTCATCTCTTGTGGAGTTAAAATCCATTGTGTCAAAACCACAATTAGAGTCTGTGTTGGGGAAGACGTAAAGGGCCCTTCCTTGGGGTTGTAGCTCTCAAGGGGAGACCTGGAAACCTTAAACTCCCCATAGGGAATACTACAGATGTCCTGAATACCCACATGAAAACTAGGTATGGAGAGTATTTTTTAAAGTGTATGTATAGTCATTTTTATTCTTGTTCTGGGTAGGGTGGGGAAGAGTTAGAACCCTTGTCAAGTGTGTATTGCTGTCTATGCCCCACAGGGGAAATTCAACCCTCTATTTGTCCTGTTGGCTTTTGTCATCAAAACAAAATGATGAGGAAAAAAATAAACATAATACAGACAGCAGATGCCCCCACCCTGCTAATCACATTTGGCATACGTAATTCAGATACCAGATGCCCCCACCCTTCTAATCACAATAGTCATACGTAATTCAGATACCAGATGCCCCCACCCTTCTAATCACAATAGTCATTCGTAATTAAGATACCAAATGCCCCCACCCTGCTAATAACAATAGGCATACGTAATTCAGATACCAGATGTACACTGTGCTGTTGGCCAAGTTCTCCCTGATCCCCACTGCATGTTGAGAAGGACAAATATACTATACTTCCCTTTCCTGCCTGACGTTGTAGGGGATTATATATATATATATATACACACACACAACACACACATATAATCTTTTTATGCTTTTACAATTCTACACCGACAGTATGATGAAGATCTGCATACCTGTAATACAACTTTATAATCAATGAACATTTCCATGCTGCTCAGTTCTTCTCTGAGATGAGTTGGAAACACAAGCAAATCCTGGCAATGCTCATCCAGGCAATACTTATAACCATCCAGCTCTGAAGGAGATTCCACCTGAGTGAATCCTTCTTTTTTCATCATGTTTAAAACCTCTGTAAGGCTAATAACAGAAATACAGTACACATTATTAAAAACATCTCTGAATACGGAAACAGATATAAATATATCAGCAAAAACATTTCATTTTCAAGAATCTCTTCAATGCAAATAACTTGTAGTGGACTATTGTTCTATAGTTTATGGCAGTAATAACTAAAAAGAAGACCTAATGTGTTCATTAGAGGGTGTGCATCCACAGCTGCAGATTTATATAGCTCCATGCTAACTTGTATCTGGAATCAGGTACAAGTCATCCCTTGACAACAGATTCCACAGCCATTTGCAGGTAGGCCCCTTTCAGACAGGTCTTAACAGGTCCGCCTGTCAGTTTTTCAGGTGGGTCTGATCAGAAGACAGTGTTAGTCTATAGGCAGCTGGATCTAAACAGAGTGTGTCTGTTTACATCTGATTACCACAAACTGCATCTAGGTCTGGGGAAAAAAAGGGACATATTATCGTTTTGGCAGACTTGATCATGAATGATCTGCGGTAATATAATGTCTGTTTACATCCGACTCCCCATAAACCTAACATGGGTCTGTTAAGTTCAGTATTTTGCTCCATTGTATGATGGAGGGAAAAACAAGGACAGATGCGAGTATCACATCAGTGACATCCCTTCCATACTCCTCTGATCAGCATGGGACCCATGCTCAGATCCCCTGTTGATCAGCACTGATAGGTGTCTGTGTGAAAGGAGCCCTAGACAACCAATAAATAAAAATGACAAAACCTTATGGAGAATGATGTAAAGGGAAGACTTGTGACTGTTTCCAGAGACAAAACATGATCAATCTTTTATTTTCAGTTTTATCTGAAACTTTAGGTATGAAAAAAACATGTCAAAGCTGAATTCTGGAGCTACATAGTGAATATGCCAACTATGAACAGGCAAATTTACAAAATGCTGAAGCAATAATGCTAGAGGATTTGTTTTCCTGCATACAGATCATTGTATTGTAGGCATAACAAGGTAAGTAAAAACCATGTTGTACCAGGATGCCATTGCTAGTAAAGTGTGAGCAGTCTATTAATACTGCTTTAGTGTGATGTATCTTTTTAGTTTGCTATTACATAATATTTAATTAGAAAAAAAGCTTATAAAAAAGAAAGATAAACATGAAATTAAACTTTCAATTAAAATTTGGCAATGAAGTTTGGAAAAGCATGGCATTATAGAAGACTCGCCAACACTAGACAGAGTGCGAATATCACTTGACTCTATCATGGTTATGTATTCTTGTCACTCCATGGCCAGTCAAATAAGACACAAACAGGTCTACAGGAAAGCCTCATCATACCTGACTTTGGTTTTATTGATCCATGCATAGAGGGGCACTGTTGAAGCTCTTTGTTCCTGTTTCCGTACGGTCTCTGGCAATATATAGTCAATGGTTGGAGCTGCATACTTAATTCGACATTTTGCAAGGGCAGCAGCCAGTTTGGTTTTATAGCTAAATGAAGTAACATAAAGCAGTGAATATATTAAAATCTCTTGAAATGTAATCTTACTAAACACAAGCCTGCTGATCCTTATGCTTAAACTAACCCAAATTGAATAATTTACAAGATACTGAAAGAGTACAAGAAAAAAATGTTGTAAACAAGGAAGTTATATGTGGTAGATACTTCATTTGGCTTCTCAAGAGTTTTGTGTAATTTGGAAGTAATCTTTGCAGGCTACCATTAAAGCATAAGGATACAGAACTGTGTAAGAGTTAGTTATGACTTTTTTTTTCTATCATGACCTTCTTGTCAACTGCTTCAATCTCTGTCTTCTATAGTCGCAATGGAAATATACAAATATGAAGCTCTGAGGCTTAAAATCACTTTGGTCACTTTAGAAGTGCTAATCCGGCAGGGGATGTATAAATCAGACACCTAGAGGTGTCGGTTTACATGCTCTCATGTCCCCCAGAGCCTGAGGCCCCGGGCGCCCGCACCGCCTGCACCGGCGGTAGTTCCGCCACTACTCATGCCTTGTAAAGCTCTATGGGAGTCCTAAAATTAGGGTGCTCTAAAATGTATATAACGTGGTCTTGTGCTTGTGCTATCCCTTCCCCACTGCTGGCCCATAGCTATGAAGAGTGGCCAGATTCCAGAGCCGTCAGGATGCTCTATAAGACACATAAGCAAACTGATCTCTTGGTGCAGGAATGAACTTAAAGCAGAACTCCAGTATCAGCAAAATTGTCTAAATACAAGAGGCATGTGTATTGTTACTTGAATGTTGGTGTGCTTTGTGTATATCTTCCATATCTGTGCAGTAATCCTGTGTGAAAATTTGCATATGTGCAGGAGCTTCCTGTAATAAAGACCAGTCACTACAGCCCTCTTGTCTTGTATCTGCCCCTCCTGTACTTTTCTGCAGATAGCCTATAGTGGGTGGAGCTGTTGGGCCCCTCAGCACAGTGATCATGTTGCTACTATTTGCATTTCATGCGCACAGAGTGGATTTATATTCTTTGCGGTTATTGAGCAATAGAACTAATTTATGTTTCTTGTACCCAGAGTTTATCTTTAACATCACCCCTTAAAAATACACAAAAGCTTCAAATAAAAACCACAGAGCCTACTTACTCACACCTTTGCAACATATTAGAGGCTATAAAGGAACAGGTACACTTTAAGAAAGTATCGTAAAATGCCTATGATTCACTGAGACGACGAGTGCATTTGGTTGGCTCAGACAACTGAAAACCTTGAGAAAGGGCATTAAATTCATCTGAATGAAGGGCAAGTTGAGGGGTACATAATCTCTGCAAATTCATACAGAGTGCTGTTTTTTTAATGTGGTACATGCAAATGACTGTCCTCGAGAAAGATGATTCTCTTCTTCCTTCTGGCTTATTAAACATATTATTGGGACAGCAATAGCTATGAATGACACCCAATGCATTCAATAAAAAGCTTTATCTGAACATTATTGTGCTTTGATTATATTTAGCTGTCCACATTATAGATTTCACTTTCACAGCGATTTTATGGCATTTCTTCTACTGGGTAGATGTTTATTACATCCATTAACAATATATATGACTATGGTTCATAAGGGACGCCCACTAGAATAAGTTCTAGCAGAATTAACACAGGGATCCAGGGACATAAACACCAGATGAGCATGTGAAAACTGGAGTTTTAGTTTATGGTCAAATATTACAGAAAGTAATGGGATGAGAAAATTAAAGAGATAATAGGAAACTAAGACTTGCAATGATGATCTTCCTTAAGGAGCCCTAACAATAAGAAACAAAGTATGAAGAATTTGTTCTTTCAAACAAAAATTCTAGGCAGACAATAAAAGAATTCAGTGAACTGCTAATAACCTGCGGCATTTATAAAATGTTTAAATGATTTTAGTGCAACGGGGTTTTCACAGTGCTGCCGCCTCTTGCCATTAAAGCTGAGTCATCTAAAAGACGGGCACAAGAAAGGCCACTATGCTAGTGTATTAGCAATAAAATAAAATGTTTGTATTTACTGTAACATGTCTTCTTGAAGTCCTCTGAAGGACACAGGAATGTTAGAAATTGTTAATCAGTTGGGTTATGCTGCCATCTACAGGAGGTTGAGACACTGGCAAACAAAAAAAAAGTGAAGCCAGCCCCATATAACTCCACCTCCAACCATTATGCTTCAGTTTTGCAAGCCAGCAGTGGAAATCATTGGATTCAGATGTTCCAATCACCTCCACGGTCACAGGTGTATAAAATCAAGCACCTAGGCATGCAGACTGCTTCTACAAACATGTGTGAAAGAATGGGTCGCTCTCAGGAGCTCAGTGAATTCATGCGTGGTATCGTGATAGGTTGCCACCTGTGCAATAAGTCCATCCCTGAAATGTCCTTGCTACTAAATATTCCACGGTCAACTGTTAGTGGTATTATAACAAAGTGGAAGCAACTGGGAACAACAGCAACTCAACCACGAAGTGGTAGGCCACGTAAAATGACAGAGCGGGGTCAGCACATGCTGAAGCGCACAGTGCGCAGAAGTCGCCAACTGTCTGCAGAGTCAATAGCTACAGACCTCCAAACTTTGTGTGGCCTTCAGATTGGCACAACAACAGTGCATAGAGAGCATCATGGAATGGGTATCCATGGCAGAGCAGCTGTATCCCAGCCTTACATCACCAAGTGCAATGCAAAGCATTGGATGCAGTGGATGCACGCCGCCACTGGACTCTAGAGAAGTAGAGATGTGTTCTCTGGAGTGACGAATCACGCTTCCCTGTCTGGCAATCTGATGGACGTGTCTGGGTTTGGCGGTTGCCAGGAGAACGGTACTTGCCTGACTGCATTGTGCCAAGTGTAAAGTTTGGTGGAGGGGGGATTATGGTGTGGGGTTATTTCTCAGGGGTTGGGCTTGGCCCCTTAGTTCCAGTGAAGGGAACTCTTAAGGCATCAGCATACCAAGACATTTTGGACAATTTCATGCTCCCAACTTTGTGGGAACAGTTTGGGGATGACCCCTTCCTGTTCCAACATGACTGCGCACCAGTGCACAAAGCAAGGTCTATAAAGACATGGATGAGTGATTTTGGGGTGGAGGAACTTGACTGACCTCCACAGAGTTCTGACCTCAACCCAATAGAACACCTTTGGGATGAATTAGAGCGGAGACTGCGAGCCCGGCCTTCTTGTCCAACATCAGTACCTGACCTCACATGCGCTTCTGGAAGAATGGTCAAACATTCCCATAGACACACTCCTAAACCTTGTGGACACCTTCCCTGAAGAGTTGAAGCTGTTATAACTGCAAAGGGTGGGCCAACTCAATATTGAACCCTACGGACTAAGATTGGGATTCCATTAAAGTTCATGTGCGTGTAAAGGCAGGTGTCCCACTACTTTTGGCAATATAGTGTATGTCACAGCATAAAATCTAAAAGGAGAGAAGGGAAAATAAACCCATCATCTGGGAAAAATAGAAGGGTACTAACCGAAATGTTTTTTAATGAGAGTGTGAGGTGATCAACAACACCTATGTAAAACAGTAGGTAGGGATAAGGATATATTATAATGCAAACTAGCATACAAGAACATCAGGGCGAGAAGGATGAATAGTAGTCCTTTCAACCAAGACCCATAGGTGTTTCAAGGATGTGGTAGCCACACTGCCTAACAAGTTATTAAACATGTGATTCTAGGAATAATCCACTGAGAAGCGAGGGGTAGGAATCCTAGTACTAGAAATACTCACCTGATAGAGAATAGAGGATAGGAAGGGGAATGGAATTTAAAGAGACTTCCTCAGAAGACTGCAGCTTAGTCATAGAAGAAGAACTATCTTCCATTAATAAGTTGCCCTGAAGGCTTACACTATCCCACTTAGTAAAAATCTGCAGCAGGACAGTGTGTCCTACCACCTGACCCTCCAGAGAAGTATAGGACCTTCGATCGATGGATACTTCCTTGCAAGAAAGAAATTAACTTATGTGCAAAATCCTCACTTGAGAAGAGGGGGACCTGAAACACAATATCTTGACTTTTCAAAAGACAGGGGGGTCACGATTGACACACTCAACACTGTCCAGCAGAAGTTTACAAGTATTTTCAAAGATAAAGACCTTGAAGCCTCCAGATGAAATCCAGCAGAGGTCAGATCAAAAGACTGTGATTTTGTCTGAGACATGTTTTAAACCGAGATTTCTGTTCCAAAAACTTCAGGACACGAGGGTGTGCCGATGTAATTTGCGGTATCTGCATTTAGGGATTTGATCCATAGTGACATGGTTTTACAAAAAAATATCACCAACATAGGATAGAGATTTACTCAAGCTGACTTAAACTGAGACCTTAGTAGGATATCCCACTGTCTGTCAGTGAAATCCCTTAGGGCAAAGACATTGTCAACTTTTTTAGTGGCAGGCTTGTCAAGGTGAATGACTGGAGTTTTCACAGTGAGCAGAGACCACTTCATAATAAATTCCCTTTCAAATGGAAAAAGCTCCTTCACAATGTTAGGAAAGAGCTATGATTCCATAGGTTGCTACCAGTCCTCATAGAGGAATGTTATATAATAGTGTATTGGGAAGGTCTTCACAGCTATATAAGCTTTAAAACATCCTATGTCTGAAACAGCAGGCTGATCCTCCAACTGCAGGGTAGAATGTACTGCATCAATCAGATTAGCAAGAACTCCTTGTAAATCTGAATCATATAAAATTTGCTAAAATACAGTCACTTCAGGAGTAGACTGTGAGGAATCTAAATCAAAGATATTAATACGTGTCCCAGGCACACTTAGGCGTGGAGGTCCAGTACGGTCTGAATTAGATTCTGATGTGAATGACACTAAGGCGAGACCTGCCTCTTCAGTATCCTCTAGTACTTCTGGACCCTGCCTATGACACTAACCCTTACATACACACTAGTGCCTTTTCCCGACATTCCCAGGAGGATACCTTCACTGAACAGGATCAGTGTAGTTTACACACTTCATGGTAACCCCAGGGTCCTATAATCTGCACTCGTGGTGAAACTTTGTACCCTACCTCAGGTATATCGAATCTTTTTCCATCCACTTCTTCAAGGGTTTTTGGAATTTTTAGGGAATTCTTTTTTACATGGTTTTCATTACACTTTTCTCTGCATTAGAAAACCTGGAATTTGGGTAGGCACCAAGCTGGTACCTTGGATCAAGAAGTCCTGCTAATTATTTGCAGCATTAGAGCCAGGGTGGAAATGATCCCTTTCCTCCATTCTGAGTGGATTGTCTTCCACATAACAGACTTGTTCCCAAGCCAATAAGGGATTCTTTTGTGGGTCAGTTTTCTTATCTGACCTCTGCTGGGCATCATCTGGAGGTTGCAAGATCTTCACCTCTGAAAAAAATTGCAAACTTTCTCTGTAACTGACCGGTTCATCTACTCTCTATGTTGGACAGTGTTAAGCGAGTCATTCATGAACACAGTGCTTTTCCATTTTGGAGTTAAAGTATGCTTATGGAACCCCATCGCATTTGTTGATCTTCACTTTATACATCGCAAAAAAGTCATGTATTTCTCTGGAGTGTCAACAGGCAAGACACTCTGTTACCCTGCTGCCGATCATTTCTAAGTAGGATAGTGTAAGTCTGGTGGAACATAGATCCTCTTCTGTGACCAAACTGCAGTCTTCTGAGGAAGTCTTGCATTTCTTCCTCTCCCTATTCTCTATCAGGCAAATATTCCTAGTGTTAGTACTAGGATTCCTACCCCTGCCTCCTCTATGGAGGATTCTGGCCCTTTCAGGGCTAGGGTTTAGGATTCCTAGAATATCATATATTTAATAACTGGTCAAGTAGGTTTGCATTGTGGCTATCTCACCCCTTAATCACCTATGGATGTGAGTTGGAAGGACTTCTCATCCTTCTGGTCCTGTTGTCCTTGTATGCCAGTTTGTGGTCTTGCATATTCTCACCCCTGCCTACCCTTTTTATATTTGTTGCTGATTACCCACAATCTCCTTTAAAAGGATTCAGGGTTATTACCCTTCTATTTTTCCCAGCTTAAGGGTTTATTTTCACTCTCTCTGTTTGGATTTCCCACTGAGAGGGACCATGTATGTCCATTTATAGATTACTTGTTTATCAGGTAACTTCTTTTTTACTTTTGGACCTCCCTTTTCCAGAAGTGAAGAGTTTAGAGTGTTCTATCAAAGCCTCTGGCTGTTGACTGGTTGGTATTTGTTCTGGACATACCTTGTCTGTCCAAGCTTCCTTTCCCTTAGGAAAGGGTTAGGCCTTTACTCTAGAAAACCACCTTAGCTGGTTAACTTTTCCTGCTGTTCAGGTAGTTGTTGTTCCACCTGTTCATCATCATTGCTAAGGTAGGCCCATCATTTTTTCTGGTAGTACTTTCTCCTTACTTACTGATAACCTGTCTCAGCCTGGAGCACTAGGTTGATCTTTGTGGGTTGTGACAATTTTATATATTTGGTTGGCCCTGTGTTGTCTAGCCTTCGTTCAGGGTTGAACCCTTTAGAAACTCTTTGTAGTATGATCCACATGATTATGCTAGCAGAAGGAGAATTGCCTCATATTGCATGTGCAGATGTGACTGACATCTGATGTCCATTCAGTGCAGATTTTTCCCTGCACGCTACAGGCTTTTTTAACAACGGCAGTTTGTAAGTACCATTCTTGCTTGCTAACATTTTCCACTTAATAAAGACTTCTACACTAGAGAGGCGCACTGTTTTTTCTGTTTCATGTATGCTAGACCTTCAGATACCCTCACTGTTTCAAGTGCTGCCTACCTGCGAGAAGTTATGATGCTTACACCCCTTTGGAGGATAAACTTTTGCGCCAGTAACTTTGTTGTTTGAATATTCTGCTATCAGGAGAACCTAGGCTAGGGAAAGTACAGGCTTGTTTAATACACTACACAACAGGCAATTTGAACAAGCCCAAAGGTCACATCAACAACAAGGCTTGAGGAAGCACAGGAAAGTTGTAATCTCGTTTTATCCATCTGTTTCTCATGTGCATGTATAGCAGCCATACAAGCAAGTGCATAGAAATAGTTTGTTTATGTAGGCTTGGAATGACAGATCCAATAATACTTGTGTATACAGTGATGCAGGTGGAATGCCAAGTGGCAGATGAAAGGATGACTTTTATCACAGAGTAAATATCACTCTCATTCCTCATGACTTTGGAAACATTTGTCACACAGAAAGTCAACAGTGCTTTGATGAGCAGAGGAAAACAGTGCTTGATAGAAGTACTACGCTGGTGCAATACTCATATTTGCCAAATCTATACTAGATAACATAGTCACCTTACTTATCTTAAAGGAAGCTGGGGCTAGGGAAAGGAACTTGAGCTCAAACACAGGAACCAGATTTTTAAAACATGACATTTAGTGCAGTCATGGCTAAATCTGTTTGCTGTGGAAGTTCTTAGCACAATGTGAACTTTGGGATCATATGGGTGACAACAGGAGCATGACCAGCACCATGGCTACTGCAGATCTAAATAAAGGCTAAGACAAATAAGGCTTAAACAAATAAAAACTACCACTGACAAACATTTAATACAGTTTCTAACAATGATTCTTCAGTTTAATAAATATAAAAATGGCAGAGTTTGAATCAAGAAGACATACATGATTCCTAAAATGCTTCAGATAATAAAAATCGCTTTCTAGTTCTTTCTATGGGAGTGCAGCCCTATTTCTTCCAGGACATGTTCTGTGCTATAAAAATGACTTACCTATTCAAAAATGTTTCTACTTCCCGTACGTCTTCTACCACCGCATCATTGTTTGATATGTATCGTGGCTGAAACTTGCGGTCTTGGAAATCATACAACATCACCACTACTAAACTGATCATTTCATCTGGCTAAAGTAACACAGAGAAAACAGAGAGAGATGTCAGCTACAAAAACATATCCGTCAGAAAAATACTTATCCTGTCATGCAGAGCAATAATACAAACACAAAACTCACTGACAGAGACATATAGCAGAAATAATTGTATGGCAATATTTTGTTACAGTATCTAAGTTTAGATACAAGGAACATTTCAGCCCAAACCTCCCTATCCACCTCTGGAGCATATCCCAACATTATTTTTTTTTTTCTACCTTGTTCCTGCAGCAAGAAACAGCTTTTTTTTTTTTTTACTCGCTGTGACATCATGAGGCCAGGCTTGTAAAAATCTTGGAGGGCAGCTGCTGGGAGCAGCAAGGCTCCCCCTGCCAGTTTCTATTGATGTAGGCATGCCCCCAAAATTATATCTCTCAAGAGTCCTTTCTCTGCACTCCTGGAAGTCATGGTTGTTGCATTATTTTGCTGGATAAGAAGTCAATGTATGCATGCAAAGAGAAACAGAAAGTGTGCCTGAGATACGTAGAGTTCGGTACTCCAGCAGGGAACTTAGGATAGGTTGAGAAAAATGCATAGGATATCAGAGAAGTAGAGGCAGCATCATTAGCCTATAACAGGAAGTTAGAAGCTTACTGAATGCCTGGCATAATAATAATAATATTATTATTATTTTGTACATGTAGCAGTTTTAAAAGCATAAAACACATAACAGGTTTACCACTTCTTTGTTTATTGTCAACAAGGACTCACTAGTGGTTGTGAGAGGTAGAAACCACTGACCAGCAAAATAGTCTCAAGTAGATCTTGATCTGTAAAAAAACATAAGAATATAAATAGAAGATCATTAAGAAACAGGAATTTGCATGTTTGTAGTGCAGATATAGCTAAAGAAGTAAACACAGTTAATGTATCTATTATACTTGAGAAAAAGCTACAAAAGTACAATAATAGTAAGGCCTGGTTCACACCTGGGTGTTTTACAGCGCTGATCTACGCGCTGTAAAACGCCCAATAACTAAAATCCCATTATTTCCTATGGGCATGGTTCCCACCTGGGTATATTTCCGCGCGTAGGAAAGCGCTGAAAAACGCCCTACGCCCAAAGAAGTACAGGAGCTTCTTTGGGGCGTATTTTCTGAGCGTATCCATTAGGATACAGCTGGATAGCCCTCCCCTCATAAACGTGTTTATTGCACGTTTCATTGACCGCAAATCGCGGTAAAAACACGCGTCAAACGTGCATATTACAAATTACCAAGTGTGAACCCAGTCTAAATCATGAGGAAGATTAGAGAGGCAGCTAGACAAAATGATGGCTCAATAGCTGCCAAATCTAGAAATAGTGACAGAAAACCACTCTGACATGCCCTATCAGCTTAATAAATGCCCACCTTTCTCCAGAAATGGAAGGAAGATTAAACCAGATGCTTACACAGGAACAAGGGGCTATATGGTATACTTTGCTCACGGGTCCTCCATTTCCAGTACACTTCAGGAGTCAGGGTACAAATTAATGACCAGATGGTAGAAGGTCCATACGCTACTTCACAAAATCTATCCCTCTGTATTGCCCACATGTTGGAGATGCAATCAGGAAAGGGGAACCTTAATCCACATTTCTGTCTTGTCCTCTTTTATAAACCCACTGGAATGAGGTGAAGAAACTGATTACGAAACCAACAGGTATGAAACTCAATGGGGATCTGGCCGCTCCTCTTTACCTTAATCCACTCTCTTGAATACAATATAAAAATGTCTTTATTATCCACCTCTTCTGCAAAATGTAAAGACACTTGTCCGCCCACAATCGGCCAATGGATCAAAGCAATATACGAAATTTCAGAATGGAGAACCTCCCCTACTCCTCAAGAAAAATACAGCAAGTCCAGTTTCCTTGACTTATTTTTTACAGATATTCCAAGAATACAGGTCTTTTATTTTAGGATTAAGTGGCCTCTGTCCCTGGACCTTTAACTACCAACTACCTTTAACTACCAAATACAGATTAAGCTCTCACTTCCTCACTCTGACCTCAACCTCATCCCCCTCCCCATTTCTTTTCCCTTTTCTCTTTTTCCTCCCCATCTTCTTCACTTCCCCTCCTCTACCATCACCCAACCTATCCCTTCCCGCCCTCTCCTTTCACACAACACTTCCTTTCCGTTACCTGACTCCACCTTCCTTCCACTTTTCCTCTTGTTTCCATCAACCTCCCTCCCCTTAACTCCCTCCTTGATATTAAATACTAAAGGCCTCTTTTTAGGACCAAGGCACACACAGCACCACACTGACTGAGCCATTGGATATTAAAGAGTCTGACACATATTTTCCAGGGACCTCTTTAGTGTCGGCATCTTCCCACTTTTTGGATTGTTAAGTGAATAGAATGAAATGCAAAGGTTACATGTTTTAGGTAGACAATTATATGATATTTTCCTATGGAACACACATGTACTGTACTCCAGACAAAATGTTAAATATTATTATTTGTATAGTGTATACACATGAAGGCACATCCACTTTTGGACAAAATCTTTGGCCCTGTACAGTTCAAAGCCCTGCCACAAAGTGGGCACAAGAAGATTATTACTAATATCAAATCTTCGTGTAAGGGAAACAAGAGTAAGTGCTCTGTTAAATATGAGACAATATAAGTGCTGAAATTACATTGTTACATGTTTCATTGGAAAATCTCTTCCATTGATATTGTGCACATTGTTCATAATTTATGTGCTGTGTATGGCTATGTTTTTGGACTTGTTTGTCGTGTTCTCAGTATTTAGCTGTACTTGTTGTATAGTAAATGTCAAGTTGTCCTTACTGAAAACTTTTTGTGCAAAGACATTGAAGCTGTAATTGCTATTCCTCATTCACCAAAGGCTACTTGTTTCCTGGCTTTCATGTTTATCTTTTTGCTTCAATATTTTGCATCCCAAATAAGGGTGTCCACCTTTACTCTGACTTTACAGATGTGCATACTTGTCCCACATTAGGGACTCATAGCTTACTGAACCAAGATGTTCAGTGTCACACAACTAGCATCTTTAAAAGGGGAGTAGCAATGGCAACCCCACGTGTCTCTCATAAAAGGTGTGCCATAAAGTAAACACTGGCTAGGAAACCGGGAGCAATGTGTGGTTTCTGGGTTGGTTTGCTGGTTCTAATATGCCTCCTCCCACCTCCCATGACTTTCCATCCTCCATGTCCATCACTGAGAAGGTTAACCTTACTAGCCAGTAGTGAGGAATGTGAACATGAGGTGTAAGTGACTACAGAGACTAGTTGCTATTTGCATCACAGGGCAGGTCAGTTGTTTGGTGTTCAAGGACTTGCAGGATATGAGAAGTGGTATGTAGGCAACTAAAGGTCCCTGCTATTCAATGCAAGTCACAGACTGCTCAATGTTTCTGTGTACGTCCTTTAAATACTACCCAATTATCTCAGTCTCCTTGCTTAAGAAAATTACATAATGCATAGCAATGTTAATTAAAGGAGAACTATGGGGTCAGTGTTTTTCCCCATAGTTCTCCTTAGGGTAACGGGAGGACACAAACTAGCGTCCTCCCGTCACCCTAAGCTCAGTATACCGCACCTGGAGCGGATCACGACTTAAATGACGGGATCCGCCCAGCTGCGTGAGTGACAGCTGGCTCTGCCTATCTAGAGGCAGAGCCAGCTGTACCCGCCCCCTCCCCCGTCCGTTCTGCCAGTCAGCGCTGGCAGATCGGAGCGGGGAGAGGGGAATCCAGCCCCTCCCCTGTCACGGCAGAGAGCCGTGACAGGATCGAGAGGTGAGGGAACTCGGTATGTTTTCCCTCACCTCCCGATCTACTGAGCCGACCTGTGACAGTCTCATTGTCACAGGTCGGTTTAGAACTATGACGTGAGTGGAAATCACTCATGTCATAGTTCTCCTTTAAGCTTGTGTCCAGTGGTAGTTTTTGTTTTCATCTAGTGCAGTTTGTTTTGGAAATACATTCTGCATTATCAGTATTTGCAAAGTCTTATCGATAGAAGACAATGCTGATCAAACATACATGTGCTGGTGAGCTAGCAACAAGAACTCTTACAAGCAGCAAATCACCACTTGAAAATTCCTGTTGAATAATGTTCTCACGTATGTAAAAGGAAGTAAGGCAAAGAGTTCTCTATGGCTTGGCATTTATACATATCTGGGAGGTTTCGAAGTTACCGCAGGAATATGCAATAGTGTTAATTTTGACAGCAAATTTCAATTTAGTTTTATTCATAGTCTTTTGAGTAAAATGCCATTTAGTTTTAGTCATATTTTAGTCATCTGAATTGTTTTAGTCTAGTTTTAGTTGCCTAAATATCATAAGATTTTAGTCGACTAAATCTACAGAAGATTTAGTATACTAAAATCTAGTGGGTTTAGTTAACCACTTGCCGTCCACCCGTTGTGAAAAAACGGATGGATGGCAAACTCACATTGGCGGGTTGCTGTAAATAGATGGCTTTTTTTTTCCTGCTCTCGCGCGCGCCCCCTAGCGCGCACAGGCAGAAAAAAACAGTCCGTTGTGAGGAGCCGTTACCGGCTGTTTGACATACAAACGATCGGCGGCTCTATAGCCGCCGATCACTTGTATGTTGTGGCTGCACGCCCCCCCTCCCCCTCTTCGGGTCCTGCCGCCGCTGCCCCAGCCCCCTCACCTTCAATCCCCTGATCCGCTACCCCATCTGTGGCCCGGGACCGGCTCGGGAGGGTGTCAGGAGGTAAGATGGGAGGGAGTTCAGCATCTTCCTCCTTGCTGATCTCCCTCCGTAGGTGAATGACCTGTCAGTCATCTGGCTGCTATAGCCAGAGAGAAGAGGCTGATGAAGCAGATCTTTGCTTCATCAGCTTATTTGGGGGTCCCCAGGTGACATTAGGGGTCTTAGAGACCCCTAATGTCTTCATAAAGAGGACCTGTCAGTGTGCCTTTGCTATTATATAGGGGGATTGTTATCCCCCTATGTGATAGCAATAACATTAAGTGTAAAGAAAAATAAAAAAAGTTAAACAAAAAAATAAGTCACATGTAAAAAACAAAACCCCAAAAATGTTTACGTCCGCCACCCCCACGTTTACGCACATATAAACGTAAACACGTGTCAGATGCGCCAGCGCGCGAAAACGACAATTGCGCTTCACATATTACATATCGCCGCAAAAGTCAGGGTGAGAGCAATAATTTTAGGGCCATCACTCACTGATAACACTAAACTGATGAGCGGTAAAAGCTTTTAAAGCGTCGCCTATGGCCAATTTTGGGTATTGCAGTTTTTTGAGGTTTCACGGGCGCGCGCAATTTTAAGGCTTGACATGTTTGGTGTCTTTTTACCCGACATAACACCGTCTTTTATATTTTACCAAAAAATTGTGAAATAATAAATGTTTTATAATTTAATATAGGGGAAACGTTTTTTGTTTTTTTTTGGTAATTTTTCCTTGTCTGTCCCCCCAAAAAATGGTATAAAATTAATTTCAGTACAGCATTGCATTACGGAATAAATGTCACTCAAAGTACCGCAGCGCTGAATACTGAAAAATGGCCGGGACAGGAAGGGTGTTTAACACCACGGACTTCAAGTGGTTAAAGAGTAATTGAAGAATATCTCTAGAATTCCCAATCTCATTATATTCTCCTGGAGTAAACATCTGTTAACCTGTTATTACGTATGGTATTAGGGTTTGAACATGCAATACAGACACAGATTTAACTGTTGTAATATATAACATGTCTTTATTTATCTTAAAATTAGATTAAACCAAGTCTTATAAAGAAACAATAATATTGAGTATTTTCAGCAAAGGACCAGTAATTAGATATGTGTTAATTAAAACAACTTGCATATGACATTTTTCAATCTTGCAAGCAGAAGTGCAACTCTAAAATATTAAAATGAAAAACTATATTGGCTGTAAAGCCATTGCACATATTACCTATTAGCCGTCCATTCAGGATGGAACTGAGATTAGTTCTGATTGGACCTCCTTCTAAATTGTCTCTCCCTAACATTTTAGTCTAGTTGTAGTTAGTCGACTAAAATGTCAATATATTTTCCTTATAGTTTTAGTCTTCATAACTTAGTTTTTATTTAGTTTTAGTCACTGGAAAAGTGTTGAGGAAAACTGACGAAAATTATTAGGCTATGAAATTAACACTGATATGCAAGTATCTCTAGATATACATACAACAGTTTTTTTTGTTAAACCCTTTAATGTATAATCACAAGCTTCGCTTTACATCAAAAGCCCACCCTTCACATCAGAAGCCCTCTTCACATCAACAGCTCCTTCTTCACATCAGGAGGATTTCAAAGCACCCCTGAGGCAGCCAGGCGTGCCTGGCACCCTGGTTGAGCAAAGCTGCTCTAGAACTTGCAGATTAGAATTGCATACTGCTTTTGAATTAGTTATCTGCCAGGACACCCAGATCCTTCTTTATCATTGATTCAATCAGTGAACTTCGTTTACTCCACCTAGATTGTATGATTAATGTATGTTTTAGTCTCCAAATGTATAACCTGACAAATATCAACATTAAAGCCCATTTGTCATGTAGTTGCCCAATCAACAGTGAATCTATGTCAAGTCAACTTTTAAGTTAGATCTTGCAATGATATTCCACTTTTTTGCTTTGAGACATCTGTAAACAAAGAAATTACACTTTTAATAAAACTTTTTTTTTTCTAATTTATCTTCCATTATAAAACCTGGTTTAAATACTTCTCCAACCTTCCTATAAACCTCAATCCTAGCACGTCACACCCCTTTCTGCATTTCTAGACTTTTATGAATGAATAAAATTGAGCAGAAGAATGAAATTGAGCAGAAGAAGGTGGAGTGCAGGAAAAGTAAAAGACATTGAGGGGGATTTATCAAAACTGGTGCACACAAAATCTGGAGTAGCTGTGCATGCCAACCAATCAGCTTCTCTCTTCAGTTTGTTCAGTTAAGATTTGAAAATGTGAGAGAGAAACTGATTGGTCGCCATGCATATCTGCTCCAGATTTTCTCTGCTCTAGATTTGATAAATTCCCCCCATTAATTTGATTATCCTTATAAAGCTTATTTTGTAATTGATTTTTTCAAAGCAATCAAGTGCAGTCACGGTGCAGCCTGACAAACAGATGTATATTCATATTATTTAATACTGTGATTGCAATATAGCTCAATAAGTACCAATGAAAATACACTTTGGGGAACAGCTAAAAGACAGTAACATATTAACGGACTTTGACGTGCACTCCCCTAATTCAGACCTTGCCTTCCTCCCAGTGATATAGGTTAACACACCTGAGTCCCTCTGCAAAACATGAGCCAGGGTTTCTGAGGTCCATTTCTATATCAACCAAACTAAGCTTAACACCCACAACACCTATAAAATCTAATAAAGCTAAGCATTAACTCCTGTACCTAAAGGTACCATCCTTCATAACCCCTCTAAAGCTACCTACCCCAACTCCTATAACACTCTTATACATACACAAAATGCCCCCTCCCTTCCATAAGAAGTGCATTAGTTTCACATATCTTTAAGATCATGGCGATGAGAGGGAGTCCTACATGATCATCGGAAACAGGGGCAGAGGTGCAACTTTTGCTATTCTTGTTCTGCTCCACTATTGCTCCTAGCCCCTGTTCCCTACAACAACATTTAAAATAAAATACAATACCACCTATAGTTGCAAGTGCCACTTTTACACTGTTTATGAAATCTAGTGAATACACAGTCAGATGTCATAGACAAAAATGGCAAATAGATATTGCGACCATTATGATATATTGCACATCCAGCTGCAATCAGTGGATTTAAAAACAGACTTAGACAGACTTAAACATACTCAAAAAAAGAGTATCTCTTAGCTCGTCAAGACACAGAGTGTAAAAGTGGCATCAATCACTGGTATGTTATATTTTGAAGGTTAATGGGGAGGGTGGGCAGAGAACCAGATTTAATTTTTGCATTGAGATTATGTTTTGTAGTCAGTTTGGATGTAGCAAGTACACAGCAAATTCTTCTTCATGTAAATACACTTCTAATGGAAGAACCATTGTATGAAACATGAATTGCACAGAGCCGAGGTCAACTGAGAACATCTTTTGTCCCAGAAGAAAGGCAAGGAACAGTGTTAAATTTCAAAGGTTTCAATACCATGTTTTAGGATTTTATACGAGGCTGCTCAAAGTAAACAGCAATCAGTTTCATTAACTGTGTAAATACGATAAATTTTCCAGAACTATACTTGTTTCACAATCTATACTGTCAGTTCTATTTGAACATACAGCTCTTTGTTGTGGTTTCTTGGGGTGTTCTTGACATATCAGAAGTATGAACCTTCCCAAATGTGTTTAAGGACCAGCGTCACACAAGTAAACAAGTATATATTTAGAAGAAGGCATCAGACCGTCCACAGTGATCAATTAAAGGAGAACTATGGGGTTAAGGCTGTAGCTCGCGGTATATTGAGATGCTAAGATGCCGCAGCTGAAGCGGATCCCGACAATTATGCCGGGATCCGCCCAGCTGCGTGACTGACAGCTGGCTCTGCCTATCTAGAGGCAGAGCCAGCTGTACCCGTCCCCTCCCCCGTCCGTTCCGCCAGTCAGCGCTGGCGGATCGGAGCGGGGAGGGGGGAATCCAGCCCCTCCCCTGTCACGGCAGAGAGCCGTGACAGGATCGAGAAGTGAGCGAACGCCGGTATGTGTTCGCTCACTTCCCGATCTACTGAGCCGACCTGTGACAGTCTCATTGTCACAGGTCGGCTAGAACTATGAGGTGAGTGAAAAGCACTCACCTCATAGTTCTCCTTTAAGGAAACCTGTAATGAGAATATTTTTGGGCTGCCATTGTTAAAATAAGCTTTTAAAAATGGTAGTTGCCCAAATGTCAACATACAATTGTACATGACTTATTTTAGGTCACATGTATCACATCAAAAAACTGGAACTCAGTTACTTAATATTTGATCAAAGGGGACTGGCAGCTGGAACCAACAGGTAGGAGAACCTATTGCAATATTCAGCGGCTCCTTCGGGGGTGAGCGCTACATAAGCCTGAGCTCTGGACATTAACTTGAACTTAACCACAAAAAAACTTAACCCTGAATTGTACACAGACCCTTACATCTAAACCTTACCTCTACTTAACCCCTAACAATAATCCATTAAAGAGCTTGTCTAAATACAAAAATGGGCATTGCCACTGCTGACTTATTTTGAAGATACAAGCTGTGTAACCATCATCCTCATCCTGTCATGACTTGGTGGGTCATTATTGGACTGGAAGCAGGGCCTGCAGTAAATATCTTGGTTTTTTTTTTAGTATATAGTTATATTTTTAGATGCAGGGATGGGGAGTGCTAATAGATAGGATTAAGTTGCTTTTAAATAATAGATCTTCTTTAACCCATTAATGCTGAAACTTTGTCTAACCCCTAAACCTAAACTTCAAATCAGATATAATTCTATCACTTGAGATAACAAACATGACACCAATACTAGTGCTGATAATATTTTCATGCCAAAAATGTCCTGCACCTCGGCAAATCGATGCTGTACGTGAACTACAAACATTCTCCAGCTCCCATACAACAAGGCAAATTATCAGCACATAAAAACCTTTACAAAAATGTCTGTAACAAATGCAAATGAACAGAACAAAATCCATAAAGGCCCATTAACATCTATGCATTGCATTAATGCATGCCAACACATGAACGCCAACACATGAACCACTGTGCTTTGTGGTGCTATTCATTTTGAAAGGCACCTTAATGCATTAGTACAACCCACCCACATTGCAGAACGCCACAACACACAGATGGGAATTTATCAAAACTGGAGCAGACAGAATCTGGAGCAGCTGTGCATGGTAACTAATCAGCTTCCCTCTTATTTTTTAATCTTAACTATACAAACTGAAGAGAGAAGCTGATTGGTTGCCATGCACAGCTGCTCCAGATTCTGTCTGCTCCAGTTTTGATAAATTTCCCTCACAGTATCATGCATTGTGATATGCTGCATCAAAAAAATAGGGCATGGTACGTTTTAAAAGGCTGCATTAAGCACATTAACTTGAGGGATAACACTTTTTATGCAGTGCATACATCTGGGTCCAAAACGTTTATGTGCTGCAAGTTTTCCTATGCTCATTATAATTATGTAGAATGTTTGTTGAATGACTTTACTCACATTTCAGAGCATTGAAAGCTAGCTCATAGGACCAGCGTTGAAATCGTTCATCTTTAAAGGCTGGCAAAGGCATCCCAGAGTCACTGCCATAGCTGACCAGGATTTTATCAGGAGGTTTCTCTCGATGAATATGTTGGAATATTCTGGCAGCATTGAAGAATATCTGGTCAGGGTAATTTACTTTTTCTGTCGGCCAGGATGAACTATCCCCTACAAAGTCTACAGTGCTCACATCCGACAGTGGCTTCATGGAGGAGTGACGTTTGCTGTTGGGCTCCAGATTTCTTCAAATGCTCAATGTTTCTGTGATCAGTAGAATACACAAAGCCTACAACACAAGATTACAAACCTTATATTTACTTAGCACAAAAACTTTACATCCAAAATAAATGACACAAAGGTCAAACATTTGTTCACCAAATGGAATACATTTTTCATAACCATAACAATACTGTACATTTCAAAAGGTATGATGTGTAGAAAATAGATCAAACAGAAAACATCTGCATATCAACAAAAACAGTATATTTTTTTTGTTAAAACAAAAACCCAGAGGTTTGAAGGTGCATGGTCTGCAGAACTTTGTGGTGACATTTTTGCAATATGGACACTTACTGTGCTGCTAAGGGTTTCTTTATACAATACAAAAATCAAATAAAATCTGTAGGAAAAAAAATGATGGACCTGAGAATTGAAACATTCTTAACACACTGTAAATTAGGTTTTAAAATAAGCCTTCACTGACCTTTATAGCTGCAGACACTGTAAAGCAATACAAAGTTCACAGCAGGTCATTCTCTCAGCAGCTCAGTTCCCCCAGTTCCTCTTCCCAGATTTCCTGCTCTGGGTTGGTCATTAGAGTTTAGAAGGCTGCTGAGAGGGGGAGCAGGGTGAGATGGACTTGAATGACTTCACTGGTTCTACAGAGAAATTTGAGGTCTAATTGCTCCACAGTGCCTGTGGCCACAGAAGTAAGTAAGGCATTGTTTAAGAACGTATTTATTACTTTTTAAAAGTATGCAAATACTTAAATATTATTAGCTACACATTCAAAGTAGGTCTGCAACAAATGATTATTTTCATATTTGATTAGTTAGCCGATTATTTTTTTAATTAATTGATTAGTCGGATAGAACAAATTAAATAAACACCATCCTTATGTAAAATAAAATACACAAATACAGTGTTACAAACATAAAGTTTACTTCAGAATGAAACTGCATGCTCAATTCTTTGCAATTGCACTGCACTGGAACGCAAGGCATTGCGGTACCGTGTGTTCCAGTGGGGGCGATCACACTGTGGGTGGGAGGCGTGTTTGGGTTGCCACTGAAATGAATGGCACTGCAAAGCACCTACTGCAGCAGAATTTGTCAGGCCGAAACCGAAAACTATTTTTTCCACCTTTTAGATTCCGCAGATGGCTGCTGAATGTAAATACACCAGGTGTAATAGCAGGCTGGCTATATCACCCGCCCACTGCTTGCTGTGCCGTCCTCCCAGCATGTAGGAGAGAGCTAGGGGATGTTTCCGATCACCTGAATGGATGCGTAATCCATCCATTAAAGATTTAACTCCCTGTGTCCTGTGATGTACGATCAAGAAAAGTGTTATGTTTCTATGTTTTTCAATGAACATTGAATGCATGTCTCTGCTTTTATGTGAGCAGTCTGTGTATACCTGAGTTTTAGTCCCATTTCACACAGGAGCCTTTAGTTCCGATCAGCAGGGAATCTGTGCTTGGATCCCCTGCTGATCGGAATGGATGTCACCATTGTGACATCCGCATCCATCCAGTTTTTTGTCTCCATCTTGCGAGAGAGTTTTTTCCTCCATCGCAAACTCAAATTACCAGACCTATGCTGGTCTATGGGGAGTCGGATGTAAACAGAAATGTGTCCGTTTACACCAGATTACCCCCAATGCGCCACAATCATGTCTGCCAAAACTAACTCTGTTCCGTGTGTTTTTCCAGACCTGGCCGGAGTCGGGGGATAATTGGATGTAAATGGACAACACGTCCATTTACATCCAGGTGCTCATAGACTAACTCTGGGCTTCCGGTCAGATCTGCCTGAAAAACTGACGGGCTGACCTGATCAGACCTCCCATGTGAAAGGGGCCTTACTATGATGAATTTTCGGTAGGTCTCTCGGCTTTGCTATGGCCAGTCAATGTGGGTCTGTTTTAACCAGACTGATTAAACCAAGCCTCAGCTTTACTGAGTATACTCAATGTAATGCCTCTGTTTTAATGTGACTAATCAGCATACGCCTCTACTAGATTATTAATAATTTAACTATCTATTTCTTACTACAACTAGTCAATGTGTTTCGCTGTATTTTGAAGCCCAATCAATGTATGTCTCTGTTTAACAAAAAAACAGATGAGGCATCCCTCTAATGTATCAATAGAAATCAATGCCTGTCTCTGCTTTAGTATAATTTGTCAATGTGTGACTCTGCTTTATTATGGCCCATTGAACATATGTCTACAGCCGTATTTTGTAAAGAGCAGGTAATATATGTTTGAGCTTTACTATGACCAGTTAATATGTGTCTTTAAGCTTTCAAGGTCGGTTTTAGTACGGTCAATTAAGGCATAAGTAAAATAGAAGAAGAACCTGAATGGCTCCTAGTGCTGCCCTCCCTCTCCCAGTTCTATTGTGCAAAGGATTACCAAAGGCGGATATTAGGACAGAGGTACCTATGGTAGTTGTATGTAAAACATAATTATTTTTTAAGCAGAACTCTAGACAGAAAAAACAAACAAACAAAACATTAATAGGCCATTAAAATATAAAATAAGCCTAAACAGAGGCAGGGGGGAGACATCTATTTTCTGCCACATGCAATGCTGTTTTAACACCTCTGTCTGGGCGGCCTAATAAAACCTGCTAGCTCCAATCATGCCAATTCACTCAACACCTTACCTCCATGAGGTCTCTGGCCCCATACTGCTTATGATTAACAGGTTATGTGGATTGGACCAACAGTCACCATATTTATTCCCAGATAATTTTTGTACAAGTTATTGTGAATTGAAAAAGTGAGCAAGTCCAGTTACCATGATTTATTTTTTACAGATATACCATGCCCTGGATAAATAAGAACCTTCACGATCATTTAAAGCTGTGTCCTGCAGTACCAATTTTTTACAACAAGATGTTCTCAGTCCCACAGTTAGCATCATTTTAACCCATTTCCTCTGAGCGCAGGTTGTCATGGACCCATCCCAGCCTGTAACTGGACAGTGAAAGGGGAAGCAGCACAGTGATGAGCTTATTTGTCAGTCACTCTGCTTTCTCTTGCTATCAGCATGTTCTTTACCAGCATATGAACAGATTGGTATTGTGGTGCTTTTTCCTCTCCCAGTCTGAAGTCTGCTGTAAAGGCACTATAAGAAGCTGATACCAAGTCAAATCCAGGTAACTACTGCTTGCAGTTAATTATGTATTAATAATGATTACAGAGCTGAATTACTTTGTGTTTTATATCGGCCCATATGTCATATTTAAAGGATTATACAACTGCACTGAATTGTGCTTTTTATATTGGCTTGGAGCTCAGATTTAGACTTGATAATCAGTCTGGTGTCAAATCTTTATGCAGAAAAATCTTTCTCAAGGTGTTCAGCACAGTTTATACTTAAAAGGGCTGCAGATAGGTCACAAAGATTTACTGTTCATCCTGACTTAGCTGCTTCATTTTCAGCTCGGTAGTCACAGCTGTGAATGGGATTTTGATGAAACTAAAGGCCCGTAATGCATACATTTTTAATTTGATCAGATAGAGGAGGATATAATGGGATGACAGAAAACAGGATTAAAATATAATTTTCCTCAGCTCTATAATCTTTAAGAGGACATTATACAGAAGAAAACGCTGACCACATATGGCTCTCAATCAAAAGGAAACACTGTCCATTCCCAAATATATATGACCTGCATGGTCATGGAATAACTCGTTATTTTAAAATATCACAGAGTTTTATAGGAGGGTATACAAATAATAGACTCGTCATAGCCAACTACTTATTTTGTATATCCCTTCTTAATGGAAGTATAATGCTTTTGTACAAATTTTCCATTTATTGTGGTCAGGGCTAAAACATAAACTTAAAAAAAAAAATGTTTAGGCAGGTAAATATAAAATATTGTACAGTGTATCAATATTATGTAGTCTGCTACCTGGCCAGCAGTTAGAACTGCTTTTCACATCCACCCAGTCTGCCTACCTTACAAGAACTGGAGTGGATCCTCAGCCTGGGGTCCAGTGTGGGCTGCTGTGCTGTGACGGAGCTCCCTCCATATGTGCATTGCTTGTACAGCTCCTTTGCGTGCCCTGCAGAGGTGCTGGGAGCCAGAATGTGATGTCACTGGTCCAGGCACCTCTATAGCACACTGAGGGAGCTGTAAGCAATGCACGTATGGATGGAGCTCTCTCGTGGCCATACCCCCATCCCATCTCAAGCTGACACTCTGCGCCGGGCAGCATATTTTGAATGGCTGCTTGGCACGACAACTGATATTGCTGTGCTAGCAGGAGGTAGAGGAGCCTCTCACCTAGAAAAGCAGAAGGCATGCGGCGACCCACTGAACACGGGCTTGCAACCCACTTTTGGGTCCCGACCCACCAGTTGACAAACAAGGCACTACACCGTACCTATTGTATAAGGGACATATTTCTTGGAGGAGCCTAAGTGATCATTAGTCAATAAAAGCTCAGCTTTAAATAAAAAGTACCAAAAATGTTCTCCAGTTTTCCTGTTGCTGGCTGAGAGTGGGTAAATAAATGATCTATGAACTTCCAGTTCTATTGCTGTGATTGTTATCCCTTACATATTTATTTTGCCTATCCATCTTTTCACTATAGTTATTTATTTTATTCCCACATTTAGCCATCAATAAGATGAAATTGTGACCTGTGTCCTCAATTGAAGCTATTATGTCTGATGAATTTCTGTCTGGCTGCACCACACTCTCCACTCCTGAGTTCTTACAATCTGTTACACTGTGATAACGCATTACAGAAGAGCTCATATGGTAATTTTCTATCACAGCTAAGCAGAGGGTAGCAACTGTGATTAGAACGAATGTCAGCAATATGGCTCATGTCACTTCTGTATCCTCCGAAAATAACTTTGTTTAGAAATTGTGGGGGGAGACGGAAAAAGTTAAATGTGTTAAAACACTGCTAAAATGATAAAGTTAGAATGTTCATATCAAATGCAAAACAGGAATAACCAGGA